TCTGGTTTCATCTATAATATACCTCACCTGCTCATCCCTCCTTCCCCTATGCCGAGCATTATTTCAAAGTAAATCCCTGATGTGTTTTATTGGTAAATATTTCAGTACGTATCTGTAAAGGAAAGACGACCAAATTTTTATCCTCAGCTGGTTCTTTTCACCCTCCTAGACCCCTTCTCCATGTTATTCAGACATTAGTACTGAGGGTAAAAAATGCTTTCAGTATTTATAAGCATTATGTTACCAAATGGAATATTCTGTACAAAGATCCAGGTTTCTAATTCTGGAAGAAGGATTTCTATATGAAAATGAGCATGATACATGAAAAAAAATTAATGATAATTTGAAACAAAACAAAAACTTCTCTCCTAGGCCACACCTAAAACATTTAGTTAAGGGAACTTTAGAGGGTCCTGTGTTACAATGAAGGTAAAACACAGGGAAACATAAGTAAATTAAGGTGATAAATTAGTTAAGAGTGTACAAGAAAGCAAAATTATAGGCTGATGTTGCTTATGAACATAGTTAGAAAAATCCTAATGAAATGTTAACCAGTCCAACAATATATAAACAAAATTGTAATCAAGTTGGATTTATCCTGGAACTGCAATGATGGTTTAACATTACAAAATCAGTATTTGAAATCAGAGAGGAAAAAAAATTATATCGCTAAATGCAGAAAAATTTTTAATAAGATTAAATTCTGATGGTGATTAAAGCAAGAAAACCGTTAGCAAACTCAAAATAGAAGGAAACTTCCTTAATCTGGTGGAGGGCATGTACCCAAAACCTGCAATAAATGTGTTTGATGATGGGTCACTAGAAGCATTCCTTTCAAAATCAGGAATAAGACAAGGATGCTCACTGTCACTGCTTTTCTTTGATATTGTATTGGAGGGCCTAGCCAGTGGTATACAACAAGGAAGAGGAATTTTAAAATAACAGTTGGAAACAATTATCTGCAGATGATATGATTTCAGATTATTTTTATTGGCTGCATAGACAAGCAATGAATAGAATTACTAAAAAGAATTCGACAAAGAAAACTAGATACATTTTAAAAAGGCATTTCTATATGCAACAACCAGTTAACAAACACACATAAAAAGTACTCTGTAGGATACATAAAGGTCTACAGAAATAAAGGAGGGAACAAAAGAAGCATAAAATGTGGTCCCTGATGACAAAGGGCTACAGACACCTGCCACAAGAAAAAAATGATTCCATCTGCAACAAGCATTTAGAGGAGAATTATGTTGAGGCTGAATGATTGAGGAAGGTTTCAGAGAGGAGGAAGGATCTTTGTATTCCAGCTATATATAAAATTTGCGTGTCAGCTTGAGGAATCACTTCTCACATTGTGAGTTATAAAACCCTTGACAGCATCTGCTGACCTGACCCACTGGACTATGGGTAGGGCTCTGTCCTACTTGTTTGCCGCAAGCATTTGCCAGGTAGCTGAGCATATGTCCCACACAGAAAAATAGAGGGCATATGACTTCTTGAATGACATTGGTGTCTGTAAGCAGAACATCCCGGTCACTTTCCCTTTGCCCATCCCTTCTGACATCAGTGATAAGAGTTATTTTTCCTTCTCATGCTGATGAGTTGAGCAGCACTACCAACCTTTTACAGTGCTAAGTATTTCTTTCTCCATCGAGATGTGATTCCTGTAACTGTCATCATGGACTGTAAACCTACAGGATCAAAGGAAAGCTTTGATCCCCTTTGTTCAAAAATAGAAAGTTCACCAGAAATGTACCCTGACCCTGCCTTATGCTCTTGGGATGCCTTTCTCAGTGATGAAAAGTATACATCTTTTGGAGGTCATCTTCCTAAGCAGGAAAGCTTGAAAATGTTAACTTTGGCAATAAATGAAGTACACCTGCTGTCTTCTGTTGAGATGGTTGGTTCTGCCGCCTCACAGCACTAGACTGGGTTTTAGTTGGGCACTATGAGGTGGTCTGCTGACCTTGGCTTTCCTCATACTTGGGGACAGTGGGTGGTAGTATTGCACGCTGCTCTAAGTCTCTGGAACATCATGGAGTAGATTTTCTGAATGCTTCTGGTTTTTTAGAAAAATGTCACCGAGCAGGAGCACAAGCAGTCCCTGCAGCTCACATTCCGTTCACTGTGCACGTATTTTAGGTAAGTTTATATTCCTTTCACTTGTCAAATATTTCAAATCTTTGCAAAGTCATTTTCTTTAGCTGTCCCTTCCTTTTGTGTGTTTTTGGAGTAGTACTTTCGTCTGCTCAGCTAGAAAGCTACATTTCTGTAGTTAGTCATCACTAAGCACAGGAGTGACCCAAATAGTGGTAAAATAATAATCTTGTTGACAGCTAAACCAAGTCCCAGTCATTATAAGACAATTTAGAGTTGAACCCATCGAGGATCTCTTTGAACACTTCAGTTTCTAAGTGAAAGCCGAAGGAGTTTGGGGTCCTGTACTTAAGTCTACAAACCCAGCCACATTAAAACTAACTGCAGAAACACATGGTAGTTTGCAGAAGGAAATGTTCTGGGAGGGGAGAACTTGGAGATTGTTATGTGTTTTGACTACCAAAGAAGCTAATGGGCCTGTAGGCTGCATCACTGGAGGTATAAACTCTCGAAGGAGGGAGGGAACTAAAAGCCCGAGCAACTGCCTGCAAGTCAGACTTTTACCTGGTGTGGATGCCAGACTTAGAGGTCTGTCTGTATAAAATGCGTTCAGAATCGAGCAGCAACGATGATGAAAGAGCCTGGGGCTGTCACGTGAAGAACATTTGAAGACACAGGGAATGTTTAGCCTGGATTATCAAGTTAACAGTCATGAGATTAGGTGTATTTCGTATTGGCGTCCAGTGCGATTCATTCATCCAATTTATACCCCATGATCTCTTCTAAGAACTGGAGGATTTGAGTGTGTGCCTATGGAAGGACATGTGGACAAACAGTGGCATGGTCCCAGCTGGGACCATGGCCTGTCTTCCTGACCCAAACTCCTCCCATCCTATAGAATTGACACTGAAATATTTCTGGATTCTTTTTTGGAACCTTTTAAGATAGAAAGCATGAAAATCCCTTTCCTGAAGCCAGGTGTCATGACTAGTTTGTGTCCTTTCAGTGATAAGGATCCAGGCGGCCTTCTCCTTTTACCTGAGAAAAACGACCTGGCCGACATGAACATCAGCGAAGTCCTGGCTGTCATGAACACTCTCCTCTCTGTTGCTGCTCGAGAGGTATCTGATGGCTGCCTCCCTGTTTTCTTCATGCTTTTAGGAGCACATGATACAGTAGTCACTTGTGATTTCCCTTTCAGCCTCATTTACAGTATGAATGTCCTCCGTTACTTGACCATTACAGGTGAACACAAAGGTGTCCCAGGTAGCCCCTGCAAATGAGTGAGGGAACACTTCCCAGTTCTTGGTAGTTAGCAAGGAATAAAACACAGAGGTGCTACTAAGGCTTCTTATGAAAAAAGAGGAATGGATTTATACCAAGTCTCCTTGCAGTGTCTGTCAGTGAGCCCAGCACATGGTGATGTATTAGTGGTGTGAATTTTGTGGAAAATGACTTTGACTTTTTTTTAAAGATTTCTTAGCCATTTCACAAATTAATCAAATCTGAAAATATGTTCTTTTTCCTGTGCTAATGGTATTTTTTAAATTTTGCTTTTTTTTTTTTTTAAACATGAAGGATTTTATTTCTCAAAATGTAGTTCATGCTCCAACTGGATCAGAGTCACATGGCACGTTTGACAGAAATTTGGATTTCTAGGTCCCACCCCAAGCTATTGCTTTAGAATCTCTAGGGACAGGGTTTGAAAATCTGCCTTTTTACCAAGCACCGCAAGAGATTCTGAAGTGACAGCACCTTTGCACTAGGGAACCGAGATCTACCTCTTTGGATTAAATATGGGAACCAGAGAGTTAGAGGAGATTTTATCGTAGGACAGTCCAAACCACACCCTTGAGATAACTAATGGTATGGACTTTAAGATATCTTGTCTTGTGGCTGAACTTAGTGTCTTTAAATCTCTTACATTTTTGCTAGTGCTTTACTGATTTCAAGTTGCTATTAGAGCCTTGATTTCATTCATTCCCAGATGCCTGGAGTGAAAGGCCGGTTAGTAATTATTCCCCCAGTTCACCTATAGGGACCTTAGAGAGCTAGTAGTGTGACTGGGTTACCATTAGCCAGGGTCACACTGAGGTGGACCACTGTTTAGACCTGGTATGAATTTAAATCCAGGGTTGGGATTGCACCATGATGCCTCTATTTTTTAAGGTAACATCGACTTTATAAGCCTTAACTTTATTTTTGATCAATGCTCTATTTTCTGCTGTCACATTCATTTTCTCTTGCTTTCTGGCTTATTTCCAGACTCTTCTACCCATCCCTGAGTCTTCCTTAACAATCTCACTCCAATCTACTGCTCATCAATGTTTGCTCTCTGCCCTGTTTAGCCACGGCTCATTCTTATCTCTGTCTTTATTTCTGCCATTTCCCACACCTTCCCTTTCTTGTTCTCAGACCTCTGAAGCCTTAACTGAGCTCTTGCCCTCGCCAATCTTTCTTCTTTCCTCACATCATCAGTGCCACTGGGCAGAAAACTTCAGTGTTCTCACCTGGTTTTCATAGGTGTTAATTCTGCCTCCTGTGTGAGGAGTTGGTGAGTGCTAGAGCCAGGACTGAAACCTGAGCAGTCGACTCCGAGTCTTGTCCTCTTTCCACTAGATCAGACTTACTGTAAGATGCGTAATGAGATAACAATTGTCCAAGAGAATTTCCTATCATTGTTTATCATTTAGAGATCAAATGTGTGTCCTTTCTTCCCTTTTATTTACCTGTGATACAAAGGAAGTTAGAGATGTCATGGAACCTCCTTGCCAGAGATCACTGCAGCCATTTACATATTTCTCTGAATTATCTTTCAGTAAAAACATTTATCGTTATACTAAAGAGGTGGGGTTAGAGCAGGAAAAAAATTTAAAGGTGGCCTAAAATGTACCTAGTGTGAAACTGTTCTCATAACTCTGTTAATTCAACAAATATCCACTGAATGCCTGCTGTGTTTAAGGCCCTGTACTAGGCACAGGGGATACAATGATAAAAGCACAGTCTTGAGGAGCAGACAAACATGTAATCAGGATGTTTATCAATGCACACAGTGCTGCAAGGACTGTCAAAGAAGTGAGCACAGGGTCCTGTGGGTACAGAAGAGCATACCTACCGCTGTCTGGTGGAGGGCGAAGTGGAGCTGGGGAAAGGCTTTCTGGAGAAGATGGTGCTGGAGCTTCATTTGAGACCATGAATAGGTTTAACCAAGCAAAGAAGAGGAAGGAGACATTTCAGATGGAGGCAGCAACATGTGCAAAAGTCCAGTGATGAGATGGGGAGGAGGAGATATTTGAAGAGGAAAATGATAATTGAGAGACTTTGGACATGCTGTGAATTCATGGTTCTGGTAGGGCTTCAGGTGATGATCTGGTTGCACACTCAGGAGATAAGTCAGTGTTGGAGATTTTGCCATCAATGACAAACAGGTGATAGTTGAAGCCATGACTGTAGATGGCATCACATCACCATGCAGGAGCATCTTGGGGGATATCTGCAGAGGGGCAGCCAGGAGAGTAGGAAGGAGTGGCAGGAAGAAATTCAGGGGAGACAGAAGCTGAGGAAGGAGAGGGTTTCAAGAGGGACAGTGGTCAGCAGAGTGGTCTGAGGTCAAGTGGAGAGGCTTTGCCCTCTAGGAAGTAGATGGCTTTGAGGAGTGGTGTCAACAGAGGCAGTATAATGGGAGGGGGGAGAAAAGCAAAACCAGAGCAGATGTGGGCAACTTTCTAAATGAGATACACATACAAAGAGTATGCGTGGACGGACAGCTTGAAGAGACGCCTGTCTGTTGTAAGGACTAGACGTTATCAGTATCTTCGAAGTCCAGTCCCTCAACACCCGCATGCCCTTTTATGGCGCACCCTCCTCCTTCCTCGCCGGACATCACCACCACTCTGAAGTTTGTAGTCATCATTCCTTTGTTTATTCCATCAAGTTATCCCTACACAGCATGTCCGTTTTGCCTGGTTTTGACCTTTAATGGAAGGTCAAGCAAACATCCTGGAATCATATGGTATACAATCTTCCATGACTTTTTTTCCTGACTTAGCAGTGTTTTGTTGATGTGTGTGCTGCTGTTTTTTTGACTTGTGCACAATATTTCCTTTATGAACATTGCACAATTTATCCATTTTATTTTGAAGGGATAGTTGGGTTAATTCCAGTTTAGCGTTGTGTTATGAACATACCTCATGTGGTTCCTGTGTGCAAGAGTTTTTCTATAGAGGTCAAGTGACTCTTCAAAGAGACTCCTGAGAACAAAGATGATGATTAGAGAGCCACAGAGGGATGAATAATTATTTTTTTTAAGGTGGGAGAGATTTGATTGAAGGTTCAGGGGAAGGAACCAGAGAGAGGAGATTTGAAGATGTGAGAGAAAGAAGAGATACCGGTTGCGTAAGGTTCCCGAGGTGGCAGAAGGAGATGTCCTATGGAGTAAAAATCATTTGTAAAGCTTCTGAAAAGCTGGAGGGCAAGAGAGGAGTTTTCATAATACCGTTGTTCTTGGTCACTTCTGGATTGAACACTCTTTCATGACTGTTCCCATATCCATAGTATTTTTTTGCTGGTGGCAGCTGATCCCTTAGAAAATGCCCTTGGCTATGTTCTGTGAATGGCCTTCTCGTGAACTATTTCTGTATGTCTCCTCCCTTGTAGTGTGAGCTGTTGATGCTCAATGGGGCCCAAGGGGAGGCTGGCTCTGTGCTGTTCTCCCTGTTCTGGTCCGTCCAAGGCAGCCTGCTCTCCTGGTGCTACCTGCAGCTGAAGAGCACGGATTCTGGAGCCAAAGATCTTGCTGTGGACCTTATTGAAAAATGTGAGTTTCAATGTAAAATCCATGAAGACATATAGGTGTTTGGGTTTGACTCTGTGTGTATCCTCTTCTGTAGTAACTCATGCATTGGGTGTGCATATGGCTTTCTTTTCTTTATTACAATTCAGATCTCTGATCTGTTTTTGTCTTCTTAAAATGGAATTCTATAGCATGCCTTTTTGCCCAAAGTTTCCTGTTTTAACATGGTAGTATGTCTAAGTATTTTTATTGTACAATTAGATCATTTCACAGCCTAAACATTGCCTCTGCGTTCATACAGCACTCTTAGATGATGTTTTCACTTTTCAGGAGTGAGAGCCTGTCATCCCTGTTTTAATCAAAACATCTAAAAATGGAAGTCTTGCACTTTTAAAATCTAAGATATATGAGCACTGCCGTGACTCAGATTCATGTTCTATAAACCCACAGAAAATTATGTGAAACCCACCAGATTCTGAGAAATTTTATGTGGAAAATTCAGTTCCATCAAACTCAGTTTCAGAAGCTGTGACAAAAATGCTTACAGTATTAGGTCCTGCCACGCAGAGCTTGGCCTGTTGGGTTGGCACAGCTGATGCATGGGCCCATCATAAACAACGGGAAAGGAGAGGCTGACAGCTGGGTCGCTGAGCCATGTGACTTCACCTATAAAAGTGATATCTCCCCATCATCTAAAAGTAGCAAAGACAAAAACATCACTCACTTTAAAGGGAACATTTTACTGAAATTTGCACTGTTTCTCCCTGCCAGAGGAATGTGTTTGGATGGTGCTTCATGGTCTTCGTGGTCCTGTGGAATCCCCTCCACAGCTTCTCTGGCTCTCTCCAGCTTTGCCCTGGGTGATAACTAAGCAAGTAATGTTTCCACTATATAAAATATTAATTATTTTCTTTATGTTTTGGTAGATGTGGGACAGTTTCTGGCAAGCATGAGAGTGATTTTGGAATCCCTTCTATCGCAGTATAGTGGCAAAACCATTGTAGAGAGATTGTGTAACTCAGTGTTTTCAATGGCAGCTCGTCAACTGGTAAGAAAAAATGGCAGCTATTTGTAATGAGTGGGGAGGGAACTGGGGATAACGCATGCCCAGGCAGCGTCTGAGGTGGACACTAAACGCTTTGTCCATCTTCCTTTAGGTCATCTTCCTGCTGGACTTCTGCATGTTAGACATTTCACACTGCACACTCTTGAGAGAGTTTAGTGCCTTAACAGAACAGCTAAAGAAGCTCTGCGGTGACCCTGCAGGAGAGCTGAATAAGGTAACTTGAGCTGGCACTTGAGCCTGCTTTGTATCCTCTCTCAGGAGTAGGGTGACCATGCCGACTGAAGCATAACCCCTGACTGCAGAGCTACACAGATAAATTGCCTCTGAGACCCCCGTTATTTTATCAGGGGCTTTGCTGACAAGGATAAATGCCAGTCCAAGTTGATTTGGCATGATCAGCATTAGGAGGAGATGCAGAAAAGAAGCTATATATAGATTAGTCTCATCCTTATTATCTTATGAGGTTATATAAAAAAATCATAAGCAAATAACCAGATTGAAGTCCAGAGGGGAAAATGTACATTGAAAGGCAAATTAGAAGATTTGGTATTTCAAAGAATTTTCTCTTACTTAATTTTGTAGTACACAAAGTTTTTTTACTATCTTGTTTGGGTTTTACAATAACCCTGTGGCAGTAGAAAGGGCATATATATTTAATAGGCAAAAAATAAAAACTCGGCCGGGCGTGGTGGCTCACGCCTGTAATCCTAGCACTCTGGGAGGCTGAGGCAGGAGGATTGCTTGAGCTCGGGAGTCTGAGGTTACTGTGAGCTAGGCTGATGCCGCGGCACTCTAGCCCGGGCAACACAGTGAGACTCTGTCTCAAAAAATAAATAAATAAATAAAAAAATAAAAACTTAAAAAAAAGAAGGAAGGAAGAATGGACTCAGATTTGCCAGGGTCCCAAGTTTGAGGTCTTCAAACTCCTAACTCAGTGATTTTTCCACTGGAAATTCATGTTAGTAATGATTTGTAGAAAATAGTACCGTTAAAAGTTAAAAGCTGGTTACAAAGTTCCTACTGTGTAATAAAAGCACGTCTACTCTGCCGAACGATGGATATATGTGGTCTGTTGGTGGAGATGGGAACCTCAGATGATGGTTTGTTTAGGGCTGTCAAAGCCCATCGGCCTGGGCCACCGATAGAGAAACTGTCTACTACATGTGGCTGGGTGTTGAGTGATGAGAACCTTTTCTCCTCTAACTCATTTGTTTGCATAGCTGGATGTTGAGACCTGGCAACAGGAACAGCCTGTGGTATTACACACATGGACTAAGGAATCTACTCACAACTATGAAAATAATTGCCATGAGGTGTCTGTCTTTGTTAGCCCAGGGGCTACCTATTTTGAGGTGGAATTTGATGAGAGGTGTGAAACTGAAAAAAGGTAAGCCTCCCATGTTCTTTTTTCCCCAAGCAATAATGGAGCAAAAATGAAAGAAGGAAAGTAATAGAGATTATGCCTTCACAGGTATGACTATCTGGAATTTACTGATGCTAGAGGTGGGAAAACACGCTATGACACAAAAGTTGGCACTGATAAGTGGCCTAAGGTGAGTGTATTCCCGGAAAGAGATGAAATATTTCTGCGCCAAGTTTTCCCCTTTGTGAGCCTCAGGGAGCAATGGAGGTATGGTCTTTGAAGGGAAGCATTTGTGTAATACTTTTGTCAAAAGAAGGGCTTACATCAGAGTTTCACAAACTACAACCTGTCACCTGTTTTGTAAATAAAAATTTTTGAGAACACACAGGCACGATTATTTGTTTATGTATTATTTGTAGCTGCTTTGGCACTCACTGGCAGAGTTGAGTAGTCACAAAAGAGACTACATGATCCAGAATTTGAAAATATTTAGTATCTGGTTCCTTTTTTTTTTTTTTTTTGGAGACAGAGTCTCTGTCACACGGGCTACAATACAGTGGCGCCATCCTAGCTCACTGCCACCTCAAACTGCTGGGCTCAAGTGATTCTTTGCCTCAGCCTCCCAAGTAGCTAGGACTATAGGTGCGTGCCACCATGCCTGGCTAATTTTTTGAAGAGATGGAGTCTTGCTCTTGCCCAGGCTGGTCTCGAACTCCTGACCTCAAGCGATCCTCCCTACTCGGCCTTCTAGAGTGCTAGGATTACAGGTGTGAGCCACCTCGCCTGCCCAGCCCTATCTGGCTCTTTATAGGAAAAGTTTTCCAACCATTGGTTTGTATCAGTGTTGTCCAGAGTAAATGGGGAGCTTTCATACTGAGCAAGAAAGGGCTGATGGGGCCAGGAGAATGGCCCAGACCATGGTGGTGAAAGCCCCGAGTCCACCTCACAGTTAGATCCACTTCATCTCCTGGGCTGGAGGTTGAGTGCTGCCTCAGACTGTTGACCTCTCTGCTGTCAGTGGTCTAGGTTGGAAGCAAAGGAATGAGCAGGTGTGACCACTGGCTGAGTAGGTAGTGGGCAGATGCACATCCAAGGTTTAGAAAGCTGAGTAGCAGTTTTTTGCCAACTCTGCTTCTTCATGAGGTACAGTCATGAATTTTCTGTTTCAGTCACCCCTTTGTACTTTTCTCTTGTAGTAGTTTTGGACTCGTGGAAATTGAGACCAGTTTTATCCTTTTTTTTTTTTCTTTATGTTTTTTAGTTCCACCCCCCCATTTTAAATTTAGATTTTTTTTTTTTTAGGGTTGCATATAGTATATATATTTTTTTTTTTTATTTCAGCAAGTTATGGGTGTACATATGTTTAGGTTACGTGTGTTGCCCTTGGTTCCCCCCCCCCACCGAAGTCCGTGTTTCAAATATGTCCATCCTTCGGGTAGTGCGCATTGCACTCCTTGTGTATACAAATACCCATCCCCTCCTCCCTCCTCCCCCCTCCTCCCGCCGCCCTCCCCGTGGTACAGATGTTTAGGTTACGTGTGTTGCCCTTGGTTTGAGACATGAAGAGCTTGCTTATTACTGAAATGCTTCCTCCTCCAACCTGTTTGACCACGTGACTTCTGTTTGTCTCTAGAAAGTGACCTTTAAAGCTGGTCCTCGGCTGCAGTTCCTCTTTCACTCTGACAGCAGTAACAATGAGTGGGGCTACAAATTCACCGTCACCGCCTATGGCCTGCCCGACGTTGCCGTGTCTTGGGGGTTGGACTTACAACTCCTTGTCTCCCGGCTGATGGGACGCCTCGCCTCCCAGTGCATGGCACTCAAGTCTGCGCGTCGTAAGTCCACGTCCCTGTTCCTTCCTTCTTCTCACAACCATGCTGAAGGGTGAGGTGCACACTCTCTCAGAGGTCGTCTCCATGTAATGGCAGAGCAAGGTGTTGATAATATTCCCTTTGTTTCCCTTAAACCAAACTAGATAAAATGTCTGCTTGACACCGTTATCAGGAAGCTTCTTGACTCAGCTTTGGAACACATCACAAAGGATGCTGTGGATTTCCTCTGTCTGTGGAGGAAAAGGAGGGAGAGGGAGGTATTTTTTAGCAGCATAGTTAATCAGTTTTTTGTAAGTTGAGTTAGGTATAATCCAACCAGAGGCAGAAGTATAGAATAAATTAATTGTGTATCTTTTAAATATGTGAATATTTATGTAAGTGTATGTAGAGATGTGAATATGGATTTCATCTTAAAATGATATGTTCAAATTAGTTATTAAATTCTTCCAAGGAACAAGGATTATAGAATAAAACTTCCTACTGTATTTTATTTCTGTATCATTTCTTGAGTTTTTCTCATTGTAAAAGTAAAATATCATAGAAAAGTTACATAATGGAGAAAAACCAAAGGAAAGTAGAATCATAAATATTATTAACATTTTTATTTATTTCCGCCATCTTTTTTCCTATGCTTAGTTTAAATATATATATGATGGATATTTAATGATTATATTTTACAAAATTAAGTTTACAAATTGTGAATGTTTTCCCATAATTAAATATTCTTAAATGGCCTCCCGTTATACTCTAGGGGTGGTTCGCATTTGATTTTCAGCTCACTAAACAAATTAGTCATTTCAAAGGTACCTTGTAACTGAAGTTGTTCTACAGAATAGCAGCATTTCAGGATTTATTAGTTTAGGTTAATCTGCGATACGTGTTTATGAAGTATCACAATTATATTCTGGTAAGTGTGGGTGAATTTCCTCCAAGTTTTTTTTTTTAACTTTTTCTTTGCCAGTTTAAAGATTCTCAGTGTATTAAGGAAAAAATAGAACTTTTATGAGCCTTCTTCTCTTTCCAGAGTTAGGAAGTAACATGGCTGTACCTCAGGCAAAAATGGCATTAGTCCTAAACTCCCCTTTGTGGAAACCTGTCTTCAGGCATCAGATTTGTCCAGAGTTGGAATTAGAAGCAAGCTGGCCCACTCACCCCCACCAGGATACTAAGGAGGTATTTACTCTTCTATTCTCTTTATATTTGGAGTGGAAACTGTTTACCAATATTAATTACTTTAAATTGTAAATATTTGTGTTGACATCTTGTCACCCCATTAAGTAGTTAGCTCCTTGAGGACAGAAACTATCCCTTGTGAATTATCTCCACTGTGTACCACAGGGGCTAGTATGCAATGGGTGTTCAAAAATATTGAATGAATGACTCTTCAGGTGCTCAGTAAATCTTGATGGAGTTATCAGACAAACAAATGGAGTATACTTCTAGTGCCTGCTGAGTCAAACTTTAGAGTAAATGATTTGTGCTATACCTTTTGTTTGCTATAGAAGTATAGCACATTATTTAGATGTATAGTATTTTAAAAACTAAACAAGTCTACCCTCTGTCTCTATTTTTCATTTCTGCTTCCCTCTATTTCTGTTCTACTACTACTTCTCCCCCCGCTGCCCCCTGCCACAACCCCGCCCCAGGTTATTTGGTAGTTAACCCTGAATCCAGTGGTTCTTCCTCAGTTTCTCCTCTTCTCTTGCATCTAACTGTTCCATCTGCCTCCTTTATTGACCTTTCTTTACTCCTCCTTCTCTAAACGGTAGGCTTTATTCAGGCTTCCTCCTCTTCCCCACAACCCACCAAGACTTCATCCATCGTCTCTGCTCTCATCCACTGTCATATCTGCAGGAGTAATTCCTAAGTATCAGTTTCCAGTCCTGGTTCTTCTCCCAGGCTTCAGTTACCTGTCTCCATCTTCCTGTTAGGTACTTCCATTTCAGTGTCTTTCCTGACTCCTGTTAACTCAGAAATGTAAAACCGAATGTCTTCCCAGCTGCTTACTTCTGTGATTGTTGTTGTCGTTTCCCCAGGCCTTAGGCCACTGCTCCCTAGCATTCCCTACGTCCCCACCCTGCTCCCACCCTGCCTGTCCACTCAGCTGCACGCCCTGTGGATTCTTCCTGGTGATGTTCATCTCTGTCCTTTCCTCTGTCTCTTCTTTTATCCAGGCCCTCATCTCGCACCTGCATTATGACACTGGTACCTACCAAGTTTTTTTTTTTAATCACTGCATTATCTTGTCATTCCACTGCCAAGCACCATTAATGGCTCCCCATTGCCCACAGGGTGAAGTCTAACTCCTCAATGTGACAGTCAAGGCTCTCTGCAGTCTCCTTTCACCTTAACTATCTGACTCTAGTTCCCACCACTCCCCAGCTGAGACTTCAGGCCAGGTCAGTCTCCCCACTGACTCGTAACCTCTGCTAATGGTTATGTTCCTCAGGGCCAAACCTGCCCGTCCTTCAGGATCCAGCCTAAAGCCCATTGTCCTCCAGGAGACTTTTCTTAATTACTTTAACCCACCAGGATCTCTCTCCTTGGAATTCTCTGCACTGGGTATCCCTTCTAGGCATTTGGCACTTGATAATCTTTTGCTTTATGGTAGTGCTAGTTTTAATGCTTTTAATGTTTTATTTATGTTTACCTTTTTTTTTTTTTAACCCATATATCTGTCTGGTCTTCCTAAAATAGATTTAAACTTCCTGAGAGTATGCACCGTGTTTTATACTTCTGCTTTGGCCTAGTAGTTGCTCAGTAAATTTTATTTTTTGAATGAATGTGTTAAACATGATGGGTTTTGCCTGTTTGTTTCCAGGTTAAGAACATTCCTGATGATCCCTGCCGCCATTTTCTTCTTGATTTTGCCCAGTCACAGCCTGCTCAGAACTTCTGTGGGCCATATTCAGAACTTTGCAAAGGATTCATACAGGCATGTAGAAAACAGGCCCCAAAGACAGATATAGTTGCTGGTTCCACTATTGATCAAGCTGTGAACGCCACCTTTGCTGCTCTGGTGTATCGCACTCCAGATTTATATGAGAAGCTGCAAAAATATGGTAACTTATATTACAGGGAATATTTTTGATCTGAAGGCTAATTGCTAAGTTTTAAGAAAGCCTATCTTAACTGAAAATTTTAAAATATTTAAAAATATAAACACATTTCTACAACTGTAAACATCATCTTGTTAGTTCTGTTTTGCCAGTCAAAAGATTCATGGGCAATTTATAGTTAACAGATTGTAATGTGTGGCAGACAAGTAGCCTTGAGTTTCAGAATTAGCAGATAATTAGTGATTATCCAGAATTCTCAAGGAAAACTGCCAAGAAATTTGATGGAAAGAAGCCTTAACTTGGGTCATGGTCCCAACACAAAAACTTAGAAGTTGTGCAGCTTCAGGTTAATCAGACAACCTTTCTGCACCTCAGTTTCCTTATCTGTAAAATCAGTTTAAAGTTGATTAGCTCTAACAGTCTAAGAAATTCCAATTAAAACCACAGATGTTTAAGTTACTGAGTGTGCTAATAATCTAGGAAAAAAATGTGGATATTCTTTTTTTTGTTGTTATTGAGACAGAGTCTCACTCTGTCACCCCAGGTAGAGTGCAGTGGCATTATCATAGCTCACTGCAACCTCAAACTCCTGGGCTCAAGTGATCCTCCTGCCTCAGCCACCTGAGTAGCTAGGACTATAGGTGCATGCCACCACACCTGGATTTTTTTTTTTTTAAGAGATGGAGTCTCACTGTGTTGCTCAGGTGATTTCAAACTCCTAGCCTCAAGCAATCCTCCTGCCTCGGCCTTCCACAGTGTTAGGATTACAGATATGAGCCATGGCACCTGGCCTTTACTTACTTGTAATAGTGTTTCTACTTTAGAAATTATTAGTTAGAAGTAACACAGTGAACCCATACAGGTATTTGTGGCTTAATTGGTGATTTTTTTCTCCATGCCTCTTTTACTACCCCCAATGTGTGAGTGTCAGGAGGACTTTTGTGTACTTTAGCAGATTTAGAAGGAGATACTTTATGCTTAATATTACAGTCGTGAATTGTGTTACCTGAATGTAATCTCTTCATCTCTCCTTTCCCCAGTAAACAGTGGAGGCAAGATAGCCCTGAGTGAAGAGTTTGCACAGGTGTATTCCTTGGCAGATGGGATTCGAATATGGATGGTAAGATTTTCCTTTGCTTGTGGTTTTAGTATATTGTAGGTTTTCCCACTGTAATTTCATGGATTAAGATAAATAGTTCTCAAGAATATAACTGTAGAATTTTTTTTAAAGTAAAGCTCAATGATATTCATGAATAGATATAAAATAATTTAGAAACCTTGAAATCATAATTTGGTGAGAATTGAAAGTATTCATAGTAAACAGGTTTCAGTTGAGCTCTCCTTTAGTAACTGCAAAGGTCACTCCATGGAACTCCTTAGACCAGGACGAAAAGCTTGTTTTAGATACTGGGTGACCATTGACAGTTTTAGGTGGAGGGGAGGTCTCTCAGGTATATACTTTAGAAAAATGGTTCTGCATCATTGTTGTATGACAACACTGACCTGGAAGAACCAAATGTTCATCAGTAAGAGAATGGACAAAAAAAAAATCGTATGTTATTATATAATACTATATTACAATGAAAGTGAATGAAATAGAGCTACATGTATGAGCATGGAGGACTCTCACAAACTTGATTAGAAAAAGAAAGTTGCAGAAGAATACATAAGTACAACATAACTTATATGAAGTTTAAACACAAACCAGTCTATATGTTATGTATATAAATATGTAGTGAAATTATACAAATGCACGGAAATGATAAACACCAAATTCAGAAGAATCATTTGTATTTCTTGGGTGTGGAGATGAGTACCTATATATTAGTATTATTGTTCTTTATATATTTATATGCATCTCAAATATTGTACAGTAATTGAGGGAAAAATCTTTAAGTAACAGGATAGTGGATGGATAATGAAATTGAAAGCAGAAGACTAACTACTACTCAGCAGTAGTTAGATGAGGAGGAGACAAAATAATCTGTAGGACTTTGTGATTGATGTGAGTGGTGAGCAGGAAGGAGAAATACAGGACAGTTCCCAGGTTCCTGGTTTGGGTGAGTTGATGGGTGGACAGGATTGACCAGGATAGGAAAAGGATCTTGGAAAAGGGAGTAGAGAGGTAAGTTCAATTTGGGACATGTTGAGTATGAAGACATCTAGGTTATCTGAGACATCTGGCTGGAGAGTTTAGTAAATGAAAGAATCTAAAGAACTGATGCTTCACATAAATATCAAGATAGAGATAGGGATAATGTCAAATCATTTGTAATAGTTTATTTTTAAAAAATATGAGTTTATACAGGAACAGACAGCTTTGGACAGAATCCATAGTGACTAGGACATAGTTGGTACCCAATATAGACTGAGTAGATAGAGACCAAGATGAACAGGATCTCCCAAAAGAAACTAAGACATCATCATCAAAATGGTACAAGGAGGCCGGGCGCGGTGGCTCACGCCTGTAATCCTAGCACTGTGGGAGGCCGAGGCAGGCGGATTGTTTGAGCTCAGGAGTTCGAAACCAGCTTGAGCAAGAGTGAGACCCCGTCTCTACTAAAAATAGAAAGAAATTAATCGGACAAAATACATAGAAAAAATTAGCCGGGCATGGTGGTGCATGCCTGTAGTCCCAGCTACTTGGGAGGCTGAGGCAGTAGGATTGCTTGAGCCCAGGAGTCTGAGGTTGCTGTGAGCTAGGCTGACGCCACGGCACTCACTCTAGCCAGGGCAACAAAGTGAGACTCTGTCTAAAAAAAAAAAAAAAAAAATGGTACGAGGAGAATCAGGAGAGTAGGTTGACAGAGAAACCAAGACAGTAGTAGATGTTGAAAGAAAAAGAGTGTCTGATAAAGTGAACTATCACAGTTCAAGTAAAAAGGGTTTGACAGTTGGCATGTTGTAGATTATGTTTCTAGTTTAGGACAGACTGCAGACAGTTGGACAAGAGGCCAACCTTCTCTTCAAGACCTTGGCCTCATATGCATCACATGTGGCCATCTACCTGGGCTGTCAGCGTTGTGTCCCATGCTGTGACCATTGCCTGGGCTGGTACTAAGAGAGCACCATTCTCTTCCTGGAAGTCTCAGCATCACTTAGAGGTGTTCCCTCATTCAGGGTAGAATAGATATCAAATTTTGGTCCAACCTCTGTGCAAACTGGGTGTGTGACCCTAACAAGACTTTTCATTTCTCTAGATCTTAGCTTCTTTATCTGTGCTAGGTGGGCTTTAGATAAAGGGCCCCTCCAGCACCAGTGTTCTAGAAATTTTTAAATAATAAGGTCATGGTTACGAACCCCTCCCAAATAACACAGAAGAGAAAGTAGTTCTGCAGATAACACCTTTAGACAGCTTCAAAGCCTGGATGACTTCTAGGACAAACAAAAACAGCTCAGTCCTATGTCCTCAACAGCTGAATGGTAGCTACAAAGTCCTCTGTAATCTCAACACTGTGTACTTTTGAAGTAGTTTTCTGTGGCTGCCCTTGCTAGCCTGCATGGACAGCATAATTATGTGGCTCAAATCCTCTCCTCAGTTAGAGATGAAGCAGAAGTCCCTGATGAGCCTGGGGAATGAAGCAGAAGAAAAACGTGGTTCAGAAGCTGCTGAGGCCAACCCTGAGAGCCTGGGTGAGTGTGCTAATGCCAGCTGGCATCACCAGGCCTTCTGTTTTCATTTGAGAGCCTAGAAAACCAGTGATCTGCCTTGTAGATTAATTTAGTTGAGACTGCGTTGACCTAGGGAAAGTAATACAGGCGCTAAATGTAGTTTTCAAGGATGTATCACAAACAGAGAAAATGCCAGAGAGGAGTAGGTGTTTATCGATATGCTCCAAATGGAGCATCTTTCTAATTATTTCTCTCAGGAGTTACTGGGTATTTTTTGAGGTACATCTTGTTATGTTTTTAAAGCGTGCTCACATTGAAATTTCATGGTGAAATTAAAAAATTATAATACTATGATTTTGGAAATGATATCATGATTATGTTATTTTTTAAAACTTTTTTTTTTCGAGACCGAGTCTTGCTCTGTTGTTCAGGCTGGAGTGCAGTGGTGTGATCATAGTTCACCGTAACCTTGAATTTCTGGACCTAAGCAATCCTCCTGCCTCAACCACCAGAGTAGTTGGGACTGTAGATGTGTGCCATCATGCCCAGCTAAATTTCTTTTATTTTTCTTTATTTATTTTTTTTAGAAACAGGGTCTTGCTATTTTGCCCAGACTGGTCTTGAACTCCTGGCCTCAAGCAATCCTCCTGTCTTGGCCTCCCAAAGTGCTAGGACTACAGTTGTGAGCCACTGTGTCCAGCAAAACTTTTCTTTTTTTTTTTCAGAGAAATATACTGAAGTTTTTATAGATTAAATAGTGTGGTGCTGGTATCTGCATGGAAATAATCCAGGGAGTGTGGGGAGTTGGTAGAAGTGAAACAGGATTGGCCCTGAGCTGATAATTATTGAAAGCTGGGTGATGGATCCTTGGAGGGGTCCTTATACCTCTTTTTCTATGTGTTTGAAAATGTCCACAGTAAAACTTTTTCAAATGTGCTGATAAGTCCCGGTGACATCTCGATCTATGAGATAAAATTTGATTCTGTTCTGTCAGTAGATGTGTACATCACCGTATTAAGGAAGGTGTTTCTTGCCCTAAACTGTGAAGTTTTAAATGGATTATTTTCTCTCCTAAAGTAGGCAATAAATTTAATTTTGACTTTTTTTTTTATTACTGTCTTTATTTTTTGCGTTTAGCGAAAGAGTGTATACAGAAGAGTCTTCTGTTACTAAAATTTCTGCCCACGGGCATAAGTTCAAAAGAAAGCTGTGAAAAATCAGTGACTGCCGACGAAACTGATCATCTGCAGCCACTTGACAAGCGCCAAAGGACAAGCTCTGTGGTGGAAGAACATTTCCAAGCCTCGGCATCTCCCACTGAAGCGGCACCCTCTGCCACGGGAGACCGGAGTCCCGGCGTGGATGTCCAACCGAAGCTGCTGCCCAGCAGTGGCCCTCCTGCTGCTGAAGTGTCCTCTGCCACAACGGAAGAGCCCCTGTCACCTTCCACACCCAGCCGGCGGCCTCCCTTCACGCGAGGGCGACTCCGGCTGCTCTCCTTCCGATCCATGGAGGAGGCCAGACCTGTGCCCACAGTCAAAGAGAAATACCCTGTGCTGAAGGACGTCATGGACTTCATTAAGGATCAGTCACTCTCGCATGAGAGGTGAGCCGGTCATTACCTTCCCAGGACTTTCTCTTCTCAAGCCATAGGTTCCCAATCTAGTTAAAGGCTTGCAGTTCATGTTAAAAATGAGCAATAATATTTAGGATTGATCCAGACTTGTTTTATAATATTCAAGAAAAAAATGGTGATTTTTTTTTTCCTTTAAAGAAGTATTTTTTTTACTTAAGATTTGTACATTACACTGTATATAAAGTATATATCAAGAATGTACTGTTAGAATAACAAAAGGAAGCATTTATTTTGGTAGCTGCCACTTGTAAATTTGTCTTATTTTAACACTGGGAGAAATTTAAGACTGGATATTTTATGTCAAAATTGCTGTTCATGGGCCTACATCTTTGGAAGTGTTGTATGTTTTAAATTAGTGAGGAATTTCCTTCCCTAAGAATTAAAGCTTTGTCTCTGTGGGGAAGTGAAGATATCAAAGTTCCTTTTCAAGTAATTAGTTTTTAAAAATGAGTTGTTGGACTTCTGGACAGTTGGTGTGAACTGATTTGTAATAAATCAGTTTACTAAAAATAGTAAACAAGTATGGATATTCTTCCTATATGGTATTTCTAATACTTCACAATAGCATTTCCTTTTTATTAATATGGCAGCAGAACTTGGGTGGAGGGTATATTTTCTTTCTGCTCCCACACAGGAGTTTTCTGGGGTTTCTGACTTGAGTTCTGTCTCCAGTGTTGTAAAGGTTCTTTCCTTGAGAAAAGCCCAAGCCCAGAGCATCCTCGAAGTCCTGAGGATAATTCAGTATTGTGCAGAGTCCCTCGGACAGCCTCACTGCTTCCATCCACCTTTTATACTTTTCCTGTTGGAACTTCTGACCTGCCAGAAAGATTTTACCAAGTAAGTGCAAATGACAAGTCTGCAAGGAAAATAGATCATTTTAAAGGAATCTTAGTTGTCTTCTCTCATTAATAACTCCATCATTTCCATGTAGGATACACATTTACATTTTTGGTTAATTCATTCTCTCATCCCAAGGAGAAATGAGTTATATCCTTTTAGTAAGTACCAGAAACATGTTTATTCCTCCTGATGAATTTATCAGCTTTATTTTACCAGACAATGAGAATCGTGTTCCTCATATAACCATAGTCATCATTTGCTGCTGGAAGCTGTGAGCTAAATGTATGCTCATTTATAGTAATGACATTAATCTAAGAACTCACAAAGTGGTTCTAACATTCACTCAGTAAATATTTTTTGAGTGTTTCCTATGCCAGGCACTGTTCTAGGTGTTATTTATATAGCTGTGGACAAGGCAGACAAGGTCCTATTCTAATGGAGCTTTTATTCTATTGAGGAGAGAGACAATTTTAAAAAATGAAAAAAAGGTCAGGTAGTGATATTGGTATATGGTGATTTAGTACAGAGTGGCCTAGTTTGGATGGTCAGGAAAGGCCGGCTGAAGAGATGACATGTTAACCAAGAGATCAGTGACCAGCTGAGATGAGGGGAAGAGCATTAAAGGCAGAAGGCAAAGGTTCCAGGGTGGGAACGACCCCGAGGCACAGAAAGCCAGTGTGGCTGAGTGAGAGGGGAGAATGGAGGAGACGAGGTCAGAAAGTTAGGCAGGAGCCTTTATCATCATAAGATATTTGGATTTTATACTGAGCTGTCATGGGAAACCACTGGAGATTTTTAAGCCCTGGAGGGGCACACTTTGATTTGTATTTGTAAACGATGCCTCTGGCTACTATGTGAAAAATGGTGGAAATAAGAAAAGCAGTTAGGAGACTGTTCTAGTAGTCCAGGTAAGAGATGGTGTTGGTTTGAACCAGGCAGTGGTACTAGAGATGGAGAGAAAAGGATGAGATTCAGGTATATTTTGAAGGTAGTATTGTCAGGACTTATTGACAGATTAGACGTAGAGGGTAAATGAAAGAAAGGAATCATGGCAAAAGGAACTCCTAGGATTTTGGAGTTTCTGCTTGAGCGGATGGGTGAATGGTGATGCATGTGACTGAGGGAAAGAGTATGGAAGAAACAGATTGGGGTGAAAATCAGAAGTTTCGTTTTGGCCATGTTAAGTTTGAGCTGCTTTTTGGACATCCAAGTAAAGATATCAAGAAAACAGAGGTCATAATCTAAAGTTCTGGAAAGAAGTTAGGACTAGGGATAGAATTTGGATGCCATCAGCATATAAGTGATATTTAAAGCATGAGACTTCCCAGAAAGAGTACAGAGCTGGACAAGAAGGGCCCAGGACTGAGCCATAGTCAAGCAGAGGAAGAAGAGCGATCTAGCAAAATAGACTAAGAAGAAGTGGCCATTGAGGTAGATCAAACCCCAGGGGATGGTGGTGTCATAGAACCCAAGAGAAGAATATATCTCGGAAGGTAAGAATGGTCAATTTTGTCAGAACTTATGTGAGAGTTTGAGAAAAAAACACACTGGATTTGGCAATGACCGAAAGCCCAGTTGGGCTGGGTTAAAAAGAGAATGGGAGTGATAACATGGAGTGACCACAGACAATTGGTTCAAGAAATCTGGCCGTAAAGGGGAGCAGAGAAATGGGCCAGTAATTGGAGAGGGATGTAGGGTCAACTGAGGATTTTCAAGAGATATTAGAGTACTTTTGTGTGCTGGTGGGAATGAATCAGCAATGAGGAAAAGCTTAATGCAGGAAGAGAGGGACAATTTACAGTAGCAGCCACGTAAGTAGAGAGAACCAGGGAGGCGCTATCTGTGGCAGCGGGAGGAAATAGTATCGGTAGAGATGCAAGTTGGCTGGCAGATTTGGTGGTGCAAAGATGAGGGGATGCCTATGTGATTATTTGTGTTTTTTTAAATACAATATAAGTGAAATGCAATATCAGTGAAAAAGTGAAGGTTGAAAAGGAGGTGGTAGAAACTTAAGGATTAGCAGGAAAGTTTTAGATAGTAATGAAAGTTGAGAAAGTCCACTAGATTGCTTGACAATTTTGAGTGCTTATTTGAGAATTATGGTTGTGAATTTAAAGTGGTACCAGTCAGCTTGGTTGTGTGGTGTTTCCTCCAGCAGCATTCGGCTGTTTTGATAGATGTATAAAATTTCTCAGGCAAGCACACGCAGGAAGAAAGAGGTGAGGGAGTTGGTGTTTGCCGAGGTGTGATTGTGGGCCATGGAGTCTAAGCCGAGAAGGGAGCAAAGAGAAAGTGTGGCGGGAGTAGCAAGTGCTGAATGGAAGGCAGTGGCCTGGGCTGGGGCGTGAAAGAAAAGGCTCTGGGAGTCCTACACTGGGAGAGCAGGAGGAAAGCTCGGGCAGAGTAGGATGCTCTGAAGTCAGTCTTCAGAGGTGACACCGTCATGTGATGACATGGTCAAGGAAATGACCATCACACTGGGATGGCTAAGGGCATGGAAGAAAAGATCATTGGAGGTGAAGATGGCAGAGAATTGAGATAAAAAGGAAAAGAGGTATCATTCCTGGGGATATTGAGGTCACCAAGGTGGTAAGAATCAAGGTAGAAATGACAGTGAGCTTGGTGCTAAAGTCATCAGTGAAGGGAAGCAGAGGGGTGGGCGTGATTGTGTGCAGAGGGCTAAAGGAGGTAATTTGTGAACGATATTTAATACAGTGTCTGGCATTCAAGTAGTGGTGGGAAGGATGGTTTTTATGTTCACAAAGAAAGACAAATAATTGTCACTCCATACTTCTGCGTAACTCTCTTGACCTAGTTAAATGGATTCACTTGCTGTTTTGTCCATTACTTTCTAAAGTTATTATATTTGTATTAAGTTCCTGTGCTGCTTTATTGAGTTTGCTGCTTCTTGGCTCTTTTTCACGTAAGGAGTAATGATTATTTAAGTAAAAGATGTTCTGGCAATTGAGTCAGTGATTTCCTCTGTTTCTAGTTATTTTGGACACTTGGAAGGCTGCGGTGCTGAGCTGCACAAAGCAATTCGAGATGCTTACTATCAACTTGTTCTGTTTTTGGTCAAAGCAATTAAAGGATTTAGTAGCATAAGTGACAGGTACTGGATAACTTTATAATTTCTAAAGAAAAAATGTATTTTTTCTGATTATAAGAGAAATACATGTTCGATATTAAAAATATAGAAAAGCACAAAGAATGAAATAAAAATAACCTCTAATCTTGCCCTCTAGAGATAATTGCTAATGTTAGCTTAGCATATTTTCTCCCAGTCTTTTTTCTATCTGGTGTGGATGGGTCTGGGTTTATCTAAGAATGCTATTTTCAGTTTTTGACATTATCTATTATATGTAGTTTTAAAACTTATATAAAGCCATTTCCAAGCCTCCTCCTTAGTTAAGTGGTTTAAATATAAGCCTTAAATCAAATTATCAGGAGGTGATTTTTACTACTTGGTCTTTTACCGTAAGATGCCTCCATGGTAGTCCTGGCAAGGTGGAAACCTTACACCTTACAGAGTTCTTTTGCTTAAGCTTTAAAGAATGTTCGTATGGAGTACGAGAAATTTGAAAAGAACTCAAACTAGCAATGTGGAGTTCCCTTCTGCTTTCCAATTACAAACAAAGCAGGTCACTGACTTGTGTTATTTCTGTTGTTTCTGGGCAGCTTCGATAACTGTCACTTTCGTGGCCTCTTTAGGTCCTTGCTTCCTGCCTTATCCTGTGTTCAGACAACGCTGCTTCATCTTTTGGATATGGGCTGGGAACCTGGCGATCTTACCTTCTTTGTTGATATTCAGTTACCAGAGCTCCTCATGAAAATGTCACAAGAAAATATAAGTGTCCATGACAGTGCGATCAGGTAAGAACACAGTCCTGCACTGTGCAGTTCTGAATTACAGGGATCCTAGTGTGGGGGTAAGAACACAGACTCTTGGGGTCAAACTGTCTCTGTAATGTCCTGGCTTTGCCACATACTAGCTGGGTTACCGTGGACAAGCTATTTAACCCCTGTGTGCCTCAGTTTCCTCATCTTTAAAGCTGGAGATAATAATGGTACCTGCCTCTGAGGCTTGTTATGAAGAATACATGAGTTATATCTTTAAGTGTTTGGAACAGTGTCTGGCAAGTAGTGGTGCTGTCTAAACTGGTGGTGGTCATGGTGCTATTGTGAACTCTGAGCACGAGGATCCTCTGCGTTTTTGGAGATCATAGTATAGCTTGTTGAACTGGAGAATTCTTTTCTACATTTTTTGTTACATGTATGTGTGATGTTAGCCACTATAACCTCCTGCACATTCCAAGGACTTGAATTCTAAGAAAAACTAGTATGTGAAGTTTTTTTTTTTTTCTTTCCAATTTTTATTTTTAAGAGATAGGTTCTCATTATGTTGCCCAGGCTGGCTTCAAACTTTGGGCTCAAGTGATCTTCCCGCTGCAGCCTCCCGAGTAGCTGGGACTACAGATGTGCGCCACTGCGCCTGGCTTCTTCCCAGTTTTGACCAGTGTTTCTCCACTGCATTCAAGTCCACTTACTCCTTAGCCACTCGTGTGTGAAGAAGAGAAAGGAGAAGAGAATGGGAGAAGAAAAGCAAATGTTAAGAGAATAGGAAGTAAATAAATGAATGAGTTGACACTGGGATAATTTTCACTCTCTCAGAAGAGATATTCTGGGAAAGGGGGACAGAATGAAGGTTGTCTCCTTTTTAAGTAAGCTCAGCCTTCCCCCTGCTGTCAGAGGGCACTGCTGGCAGAGAGACAAGGCACAGCACTGGGGGTATCAGCGTGCTGGTGGTTTAGCTATCCGCCTGCTCCTTGTCTGAAGCTTTGTCTGCCCCTGCACAATGCAGCCTTTGGGGGTGGAACCACATCCTTCACACCAATCCCTACAGCACCTAGCCCAAAGCTGAGTATGAGTAGGCCTGAAATCATTTTGTTGGAATGCATGCATGAATGAATGTGTATTTGTTGCTTGGTAAATATTTTGTATTTTCTATCAAGCAAATCCTTTTGTGTTTAAAATTCTGGTCACTAAAATAAACTCTAACCCAAAATTATGGAAATTTATAATGTAGCATCTAACAGGATCCTATGAGATTATCTGTCTGAAACTTTATTTGAAATGAGGAAACTGAGGACCAGGGCTAAGTCACATGTCAAGGTCTTACAGCAGCTGGTGGTAGAGCTGAAGTCACAGGGTCTCCCGGCTCCCTTCTCATGCTGATTCCACTAGGAAATACTAACCATGTCCAAATCAAACTTCTTTTTTTAAATAAAATCATTTTATTTGGCCCCAGTGCCTGGCACATAGGTTCACCACAAATGACTGTTGAGTGGAAATATGCCATGTGGGTACAACCTTTCAAGCTCTAATTCCTTGCCTATTGTAATCTACTGTAGAAAGGGCTTCTCCCTTTTTATTGGTATATATGTATCAAATACCTGACAAATCCTGGGGCTTTGAAAAGCAATTGACCTTTTCTTCTCAGAAATTTAAAAATGCCCAATCTAATAGATCCACAGGACACAGAGTCTGCTAACCAGTGCCTTCCTGGGTTTTGGGAGAGGCATGCTTTTCTCTCTTTATGTCCTTCTTTCAGCCAATGGAGTGAAGAAGATGAGCTTGCGGATGCCAAGCAGAACTCAGAATGGATGGATGAGTGTCAGGATGGCATGTTTGAGGCCTGGTATGAAAAAATAGCCCAGGAAGATCCAGAGAAGCAGAGGAAAGTAAGACCTCTCAACTAGAGTAATCTGAAGTGATTTGCTAGTTTGGAGAGGGGAGTTTGCCTGGGGGGAGTGGTGGCAGGCTGTCTCCTGAGAGGGCTCCAGGTGGCATTCAGTACCCTCGTGTCTGGTCTTCAGCCTGAGGGCTCTGAATCCTGATCTGACCACACTGATCTGACCTGTGAGAAGGATTCACAGGGAAATCGGCTCATGAGACTGATGTACAATATTAGGTGCCATTTACTAATTTACAGTGAGAAACAGAATTCCCGGAGGGCCTGGGCTCTAGTGTCCTTGGGGCAGCACATTCTCTTCCTGTAGGCAAGCAATGTGGGAAGCCACATTTCGATCAGAAGGTGGCCTGGTGAGCTCGGAGCAGCCATGTGTCTGTGGCATCAGAGTTACAGGATTCAAATGTGTAAAGGCATCAGGCTCAGATGGCCCGCCATGTCCATCTCCACGTCAGGTGTTAATGTTTGTCACTAGCACATGTGCTAGGCATCTGCTGCCTCAGATTCATTCATTTTCTAGGTTTTGAGTGCCTGCTGTGTGGCAGCCACTTTGCTCATATTAGCACCTCAGTGGTGCTTGAATGGAATGTTCTAACTGGGCCTTTGTGGCTTTTCTCTCTTATATGTTAATGTCTCTTTGGGGAGCCATTCTCTAGTTCTAAGGTGACCTGGCATATTTGCTGTGGTCCACTACTATGTGATGACTTACTGGTTTAGTTCCCTCATTTCTGGGCCTTAAAGATCAACTATACTTTAGCCCCTAAGTGCTTTCTAGTAAAACAATTTGTTTGATCGTGAAACAGTACCCTTAGTAACTCCCCAAAAAGTTTCCCTTTAAGTGCCAAGAGCTGTGCTCCTGTGGCAGTGTTTCCTGTGTCTGCAAGCACTCCCACTGTCCAGCTGAGCACCCAGGCCAGGAATGTGGGTGCTCTCGACCCTTCCCTTTTACTGGCCTGTATCCAGTCACCAAGGTTCCTTCCTTCTGCCTCCTTAATACCTCTCACGTCTGCCCACCTTTCCCATCCCGCTTACTGCTCAGTCCCAGCCCTGTCCCAGTCTCCCTGAATCTAGCCTTGCCCCCTTCAATCCATTCTTTCCTCAGCAACCAGGAGAGCTTTTAGAATGAGCAAATCTGAGCACATTGTTCTTCTACTTAAAAGCAGTCAGGAACTCCTTAGACTAGGATTGGAGGCCCTTTGTGATTTAACCTTTCCCACATTATCTCCCCTCGGTTCTACATACTGAATCATTGCCAATTGCATAAACCCTGTCTTTCTTGCCCCCATTTGCCTCCTGTAGAACTTGGTATTCCTTCTATCTGACGTGCCCACCACCCTTACCCCCACCCAGCTAATACCTGTTCGCCCCTCAGGTCTCAGCTGGGGAATTACCTCCTTTGGAAAATCTTCCTTGACCTTCCTACCACCCACTGGCAGCCATAGTCCTCTGCATTCTCTGAGCCTCCCAAATTTGCCTGTCAAAGCACTTATCATACTGTGTGGTCATCTGTTTGCTTGAGGGAATTCCTAACTAGACGCTGAGCTTATTCATCTTCAAATCCTAGCACTTAGTGCAGTGCCTGGAACATCTTAAGTACCTATTGAATGAATGAATTGATTAATGAATAGCTGCCACGTTAGAAAGTCTGTTGGTTAATTGTGTTTGTTTTGGCCTTACAGATGCACATGTTCATTGCTCGCTACTGTGACCTGTTAAATGTGGACATCTCTTGTGATGGGTGTGATGAAATTGCCCCCTGGCATCGCTACCGGTGTCTGCAATGTAGTGACATGGATCTCTGCAAAACTTGCTTCCTAGGTACATTTCATGGACTAAGTATGCCGTATCCGAAAGTAATAAAGTAATAATCATTTCTGTTTTCTGTGATCTTGTCAAATTTTTTTAGGTATTATTTTTTTTTTTTTAGAGACAGGGTCCCCAGGCTGGAATGCAGTGGTACAGTCATAGCTCACTGCAACTTTGAACTTCTGGGTTCAAGCGATCCTCCCACCTCAGCCTCCCGAGTAGCTAGGACTACAGACACACACCATCTAATGCCTAGCTATTTTTTTTTTTTTTTTTTTTTTGTAGAGACGAGGTGTCACTTTGTTGCCCAGGCCAGTCTCAAAGTCCTGGGCTTAAGTGATCCTCTCGCCTTAGCCTCCCAAAGTGCTGGAATTATAGGCATGAGTGCCTGGCCCTGGTCATTTTTTAAAACTTCCATTGTACTAAATAAAAATACTGCCCAGTGGTATTCTCTGATTCATTGGCAAATGTGGGCCTTATCACACAACTAAATGATAAGCTCCAGAGCTCTTGTTATCTGACATCCTTCCATCTTCCATTGTGCTGGGTGTAGGTACTTGATAAACACTCAGGACCAAGGAATGCGCATTCAGTGGAGTTTCCAGGAAATAGTTATTGCTTCTGAATCATACAGTGTTGACAAGTAGCGAAATACACACACACCAAAAGCAAGCCTGAAAAATCCTTTCATGCACTTGACTTGTAGGTGCTGAGGCAAAGCAGATCAGCAGTACTGTACAGTTGAATGCTCTTTGTGTGCATGGCCCAGCAGTAAAAGACACAGCCCCTGCCCTGGGAACATAGCCCCTGCTGTAGCCCAGCAGGGAGATTGGACAGATCCAAAGAATATCTATTTCAGTATAAATAGTGTATGTGCTGAGTTATAAATGAATGGTACAGATTATTTCTGGAAAGGTTTTTTTCTTTTGAGACAGGGTCTCTCACTGTCACCGGGCTGGAGTGTAGGACCACATCTGGCCTGGAAAAGTTTAGAAATAGTAGCAGCATTGCTGCAGGGAAGGCTTGTGAAGGAGGTGGGATGAGAATTGGTCTTTGTAGAAAGTTAGAACCGGACGATAGAAGGAGACACAGGCGACGGTGCCACCATCAGGGCAGAGCAAGCCCAGAGACAAAGGAGTGAGCATCTATAGTGAGTTTAGGTAGACAAGCTTGAATGTCTGTCCAACTAAGTGATGAATTAAGACAAGTGAGGCCCAGATTTTGGGACCCTGATATACTAGACCAAGGAATTTGAATAGTCTACAGATAGTAGGGAAGGTTTTCCAAGCAGAGTATTAACATGAGAGCTGTGTCAGAGGAAGGTGGTTTTGTCTGTGTAAGTGTTTCTTTTAGGAATCTATCTTATGGCCGGGCATGGTTGCTCACATCTGTAATCCTAGTACCTTGGGATGCCAAGGTGGGAGGATCAGTTGAGGCCAGGAGTTTGAGACCAGCCTGGGCAACATAGTGATACCCCGTCTTTACAAAAAAAAATTAGCCAGGCATGGTAGCCTGTGTCTATAGTCCCAGCTACTCAGGAGGCCGAAGCAGGAGGATTGCTTCAGCCCAGGAGTTTGAGGCTGCTGTGAGCTGTGATTGTGCCACTACATTCCAGCCTGGGTGACAGAGTAAGACCCTATCTCAAAACAAAACAAAACAAAAAGAAATCAGTCACAGTAGTCACAAGGGCATTAGAACCTGGATTGAGTTCATGGCAGTGGGAACAGAAGTGGGTCAGATGTGAGGAGCGTTAAGTAAGATCTGTGACAGGGCTTGGAGACCTACTGGACTTAGAGTGAGAAGGAGACCAGAACAGCCAATCTCTCTCACGACAGTCATTCTCACTCACTAGGTCTGGGGTTTACAAAGTCCTTTTTCATCTATGATTCTGGAGTGTAAAAGGAAATGCAAAAACCTGATTACTCCTCAGTGCTTGTTAACAGCAATATATCAACAGCTGCTTAATATTTGTCACAGGAAGGGGTCATGGGAGACAGCTCACAACTTGAGATGTGGACTTGTTTCCACCAAATGACAGTCATGGTGGAAACTGGTAATATATTTGATCAGACCATTGCACTAGAAAAAGGGGGTCAGTTTACTACCCTATTGCTGAGAAATTCTGTGCCAAGAATATCATTAATATTCCCAGAGCTACCCAGGCAAAGTGCTCTGGTCTCCAGAGGATGCCTATGTTCCCTGCCTTCCTGAGTAGTAAACTGGGAGTGGCCCTGGTGCTGGAATTGGTTTGGGTTTGGAATCTAGCCCTTCTGGGAGCCCTCTGCCCTCCACCTCACACTGCTCTTTTTTTCCCCAGGTGGTGTAAAGCCTGAGGGCCACGGAGATGACCATGAAATGGTGAACATGGAGTTTACCTGTGACCACTGCCAGGGTTTGATCATAGGCCGGAGGATGAATTGCAATGTGTGTGATGACTTTGATCTTTGCTATGGATGCTATGCAGCAAAGAAATATTCCTATGGGTATGTCTCGGATGACCGTAGTCACAAAGCCTTTTCTTTATGTGTTCCTTCATTTGAAAAGGGGACTTCTTACCTTTTTTTTAAAAAAAAAAGTTCCTGTTATAAAAAAATTTGAACATACTCAAAAGTAGAGAGACTAGTATGATGAACCCCCATATACCCATTACCCAGATTCAGCAATTAGGGAGATTTTGTTATGTATGCTTAGTTTATTCCTTTCATTTTTTTCTTTGTTAAAATATTTTAAAGCAAATTCCAGACCTTATATCATTTCCTTTCTACCTACTTCATATCTATCTCTAAAAATTATTGACATTTTTTCACATTACCAAAATGCTATTACCACACCTTGCAAAAATCCCAATAAGGAATTCTTACTTAACCTGGTGTCCACAGACACTCTTCTGGGGGTTGTGAAATCCCGAAATGGGATGTCCAGTGCTTGTATGTGTTCATTTTTCTGGGGTTGAGGGGCCAATACTTCTCTTTACATTTTCAATAGCCACACCCTAGAGTTGACTGAGGCCAAGTTGTGACCAAGCACATGCTCCCTTGAGGCCCTGTGCTCCTTTTTGGAGCCTCACAGAGGCTCGTGAGCTTTAATTACATCTTGCCTTCGCAGCCATTTGCCTACCCACAGCATCACAGCCCACCCAATGGTGACCATCCGGATCAGCGACCGGCAGAGGCTCATCCAGCCCTACATCCACAACTACTCCTGGCTGCTCTTCGCTGCTCTGGCGCTCTATAGCGCCCACCTGGCCAGCGCGGAGGACGTGGACGGGGAGAAGCTGGAACCCCAGGCCCGCAGCAGTGCCACGACCCTGCAGAGCCAGTGCATGCAGCTCGTCGGGGACTGTCTGATGAAGGCTCACCAGGGAAAAGGTGACTGTTCCCCCTGCACGGAAACTGAAACCAGCCCTGAGCTGCTGGTGAAGGAAAAGCCTCAGCAAAAGTAAAATACTGTGCTTGGCTTAGAGGCAACAAAATCCAGTTTTCCACAAGAGGGGTTCACCCTGGTGTGGAAGTTAATTTTAAGTTCTCAGATACATTTGAGAGAAATGTTGGCATTAAAGTGGCATTTAATTTCTCTCAAATATTTACATGACATGTAAAAAAATTAATTAAAACCCTTTATGTCTGTGGATGGAGTATTTAGTTTTTGAATCTACCAAAATTTGCCAAAGAAATCTAGACTTTTTTTTAAACCTAGAATGCAAATCTACTTCCACACAACTGTATTCTAGATGAGAGCTGTTTACAAGTAAAATAGTTTAACAAAATGTCTAGATGAATCTCACTTTACTGAGGAGTACTAGGAAGAAAATAACTTGAATGTTAAACCTTGAAGACATTTAAATTTCTCTCAAATAATGGACTCTCTAGTTAACATTAGGGAATCGCACCTGTATTAGAGAGCAGGTGGGTAATGCCAGTGCTTCAGAGTGCTTTCGTCATCCATTTGCCGGTGGGAATTTAGAAATCTAGTTGTGTGGAGCTACTCTAAAATTATAATGTTTATGATTTTCTAAAACATCCTGTTGTTCCTCTTGTATGTCTTGTCTTCTGTTGTTAATAAAGTAGAGGTATCCCCTGCTATTCAAACTTTTGCCATCTGAGATCAGGAGCTGAATAGATTCGGATAGCCAGGGATGTTTATATTCAATACTCTAGGATTTGGTTTGTGTAGAACTCAGTCATCTGTTTCTATATAGTGGCAAAGTAGTTTATGGCATTCGCTGGAAGTAACCTTTTGTTATTAAACTTTTAATTGTTCTCTTATTTGCTTCCCACATAGGTCTGAAAGCTCTAGCTCTGCTTGGTATATTGCCAGAGGGTGACTCCACCCCAGAAAATCAGGCCCTGCCAGTCACTGTGCCCACCCAAACATCAGAGGAGCAGCTAAAGAAGAAAGTAGCCCAGGATGCTGAGGCGCTGTCAGAGGTGGGCCCTTTTGTGCACTGCAGTGTAAATAACAGTTCCTTACTACACGGAATCACGGGTTGAGCTCCAAGAGAGCCGTGCACATGAGGCAGAGTAGGAGGGACTCTCAGCCCAGACTGCTGGGTCCAGATCCCTGCTCTGTCAGGCCTTGGGCATATTACTATAGTCTCTTTGCTTCAGTTTTCTCATCTGTAAAACGGAGATGATGATAATACCTGTAACAGGTTGTTGTGAGCAGTTACGTACGTTACACATTTTGAGCTGTTAATAATATATGTAAAGTGCTTAGAACAGTGTTCATAGTAAGTTCCATGTTATTGTTATCTATTCCTATTACCACCTCCTGGTAGTTTTTGTAAGGATTGAACAAGATTACACACCTAGAGAAATTAATTCCTAGCCCATGGTGAACACTGTATATGTGTAGCTATTTTTATATTCAGTCAACAAATAAATAGATGATACTAAATACTTACTGTTTATGAAGTAGATGCAGTAATTTACATATAGGTACTTAAAAAGAAAAGCCTTTCTGGATCCAGGTGTAACCTGAGATAGTGACACTGAAGGTTGTTTCATGGAACAGCGCAACATTGCTTCTGTGGCGCTGCCTCCAGAGCTTGAGTTTATGCTGTAAATGCCCCTGACTTGGCCTCAGGAGCTGCTGATGTTGCTGTCCTCTGGCGGTGTCAGGTTCCTAGTTCAAGGATTCCCCCATCTGGTGGTTATGGTTCACTGGGATCCCATGTATTCTGTGCAGAGGAACACAAAAGCAAAAATGGCTGGCAGAAACATGAAAACTTATAATTGTCTTCATTCAGCCAGAGAGCCAGCAGAAGACAGGCCACCTAATCATCAAGCCTGTGTTTGAACTGTTGACATTTTGGACCACAAAACTCCTTCTTCAAGCAGCACTTTAACCTCCCACAGATTATGGTGAGGGCAGAGAGAACATTATCAACAGAGACAGGCTAAATCAGCAGCCTTCACCTTCAAGCCTGGGAATATTCGTATCTTCTTGTGAGCTCTCAGCATCTTCTAACTTGCCACCCACCAGCACTGTGCTCCCCCAGTTTTCTGTTTAGTCACTTATTTATATCAGAATGGACTTGAGTTTTTTGTGGGGTGTTGTTATTCAATGGATTAAAAATCTATTACTTTTTTTTTTTTTTTTTTTTTTTGAGACACAGTCTCACTGTGTTGCCCGGGCTAGAGTGCCGTGGCATCATCCTAGCTCACAGCAACCTCAAACTCCTGGGCTCAAGCAATCCTTCTGCCTCAGCCTCCCGAGTAGCTGGGACTACAGGCATGCGCCACCATGCCCGGCTAATTTTTTCTATGTATTTTTAGTTGGCCGATTAATTTCTTTCTATTTTTAGTAGAGATGGGGTCTCGCTCTTGCTCAGGCTGGTTTCGAACTCCTGAGCTCTAACAATCCGCCCGCCTCAGAGAGCTCAGAGAGCTAGGATTACAGGCGTGAGCCACCGCGCCCAGCCAAAAATCTATTACTTTTGATTTTAATTTTGATGCTCAAATTGTTTGGCCAGTGGAAGCTCCTTCTAGCTGGCTTTTGTGCCCTTTTGATATGTTGCCATTGTTCTTTGAACACTTCCATAATTTTTGATACAGAAAGATGTTTGAGGCTTGTCGTAGGCTTTCCTTGCCTGGGAATTGGTATAGGACTTTTTCCAAAGAGGTCCCAGGGCATTATTTTTATTCTTGTGCTGTCCCCCCCTTTTGGATACCCTTCCTGCCAGCAGCTGGGCACACCAGGGTATCCTGCCTCTGGCTCAGTCTCTTAGTCTTCTGGCAAAGCCACAATTTTCAGCACCGTCCCCACAACAGAACTTGAGTGTTGCCACTACGTTGGCCCTAAGGATCATATGCCATTGGGGCGCTGAGTACAAATCACTATTTTTGAACTCTCACGTGCTTCCAGCCAATCCCAGGGCGCTGTTAAGGGTATCTACTCTTCCCTCCCTCCAGTGACTAGAGATGCTTTCCGTTGTTTTTGGTTTTGGGCTTTTTTTGAGACAGTCTTGCTCTGTCGCCCTGGGTAGAGTGCATTATAGCTCACTGCAACCTCAAACTCCTTGGCTTAAGCAATCCTCTTTCCTCAGACTCCCAAGTAGCTGGGACTATAGGCACATGCCACAACGCTCAGCTAATTTTTCTATTTTTAGTAGAGATGGGGATCTCGCTCTTGCTCAGGCTGGTCTCAAACTCCTGAGCTCAAGTGATCCTCCCTCCTCGGCCTCCCAGAGTGCTAGGATTACAGGCATGAGCCACGGCACCTGGCCAAGATGCTTTTTGTTTTAGTTTTTGTTTTTTGAGACAGAATCTCACTGTGTTGCCCGGGCTAGAGTGCCGTGGCATCATCCTAGCTCACAGCAACCTCAAACTCCTGGGCTCAAGCAATCCTTCTGCCTCAGCCTCCCGAGTAGCTGGGACTACAGGCATGCGCCACTATGCCCGGCTAATTTTTTTTTCTATGTATTTTTAGTTGTCCAATTAATTTCTTTCTATTTTTAGTAGAGATGGGGTCTCGCTCTTGCTCAGGCTGGTTTCGAACTCCTGAGCTCAAACGATCCTCCCGCCTCGGCCTCCCAGAGTGCTAGGATTACAGGCGTGAGCCACCGTGCCCGGCCTGCTTTTTGTTTTAAACAACTGAGAAACCAGAGGCATCATTTGGAGGATTCTGTCCGCAGTGGCCTCAGGCTAGTAATGAGACCTCTTTGGGTGCCCTAGGGTGCAATTACAGTGGCCTTTTATAGCGTTGTGATAACAGGAAAAAAGATAAAGACTAAAATTATTTGCCAGAACTTTGGAATTATATTGCCTTCACAAAGTGCCACATGATGATACAGGGAGTACGGTGTCTGCGGTCTTTTCAGAGGGTACAATTTTAACAAGGCAAGTAGCTCTCCCAGTCTCAGTACCCTCTTAGGACAGTCTTACAACCACCTTTTTTCTCAGAAGGAGGTTGAGGGTAGAATAGACGTTGAGGTTACAGTATCTAGATTGAGGTTACAGTATCTAGAGAAAGGAGGAGAAGTTAGCTGCCCCTGGGAGACGACAGTGCCTTCTCCTGAGTGTTTGATGTTGCCTAACACTCCGTCTTTGGCTCCAAAAAGTAAAGTCAAGTTTGGCCTTTCCAGACTTGGAGCTGGGGTACCTCCACCATGCACAGAAGACTTCCCACATTGCCTAGATTCCACATATAAGCCTGTACAACAATAGGGGAAAGCACCCTGGGCCCTGGGCGTGCAGGCGATCGCTGGGGGACTCTGAGTGACTTCTCAGGAAATGCAGGCTGAAAGCTGTCACCTTGCCCATCTGGGCAGCTCACCACCAGATTCCTGGTACCAGAAAAGTCTCCCAGCTCCAGTGAGAGCCCCCTTAACAAGTCTCTTTGCCAAAATGGGATTCTTAAAAGGGCATCAAATGTGTGCTTGTTCAATTTGTTAAAATAGAGAACAACTAGAAAAGAATGCTAGAACATGGTAGAGAGGGTGTCAGTGTGTAGGTTTAGGACTAGTGTCTGGTTTTCTTTGATTAAATGGTATCGGTGATTGGTTTTATGAATACCTACCATGTTAAGAAAAGCAACTTCTATAGAAAACTGAGCAGAAAGGTACATGGCCCACAATTCTGTCCCACAGCCTACAGAATGCCAATTTCTGCATCAATAAAATAGTTCTGTCTATGGCAGTGAAAACAATATCATATTTCTAGGCTTTAGATTTGATGTAGTTATATCTTCATAATAATATAAAGATATTAGATATGAAGAATTTTCTAGTTATTCTATAAATAAAGATTTGTTTTTTCTACTGAAGGGAAAAAGTACATCAAAGGTAGTTGCCATAATGTACTAGAAGGAAATGCACAGCTTTGTCTTTTTCCCAGGGGAAGAACTTTCCATACTTGGTATCTGACAGCTAAATAGAATGTATTAGAGATTTGTAGTAGAGCCATTGTTCATGTGACTGCAGGCTGTGACAGAGGGCCGCTTGGAAGATGGGGGGATGTGAGGCAATGGTTACTATCTTCACTGGAGTATAGATTCATTATAAGAAATGAATGGCATTTTCTAATGGAATTCAAGTTTTTTAGTCTATGAAGATGGCTTGGCTAATGATAAAAAATTGTATTGTAATATTAATGGAGTAAACTTTGTTATAATTATTAATTATTTGTTATAATTTGTTATAATTATTAATTGTTTTACACTCTTTTTTTTAGAGAAAGAAAGCTGTTCATGTGGAAGTCAGACCTTTAGATTATAAGCAGAGAAAAAAGGCAGATGAAGGCATGTCGTTAATGAAGGATCCTTCATGCCAGACCCAAATTTCAGGTTCGCCTGCAGATGCTAGCCCACCTACAGAACTTCCGGGTAAAGATCTCTTCCATCTTAAAACTCACACATGTCCATCCCTGAGCTATTTGTTGCACACAGTTCGAAATTGACTAGCAACCAAGGGTATGTGGTTTCTGAGTTCTGTTCAGATGGTGCTACCAATGCTTTGAAAGTCATCTTTCCTTCATGTTGACTGACTGTTTCATACCTTATGTGTTCCCTGTATTCATAAATGCCTTCTATGTGCCAAGCACTGTATTAGACTTGAGGATGACACAGGGACTGAATCAGACAGATAGACACATAGTTCCTGCCCTCATGGAGCTCACAATCTAGGAGGGTTTAAGACAAAGGTGCAGGTAACTGTAATTTGAGGTGGAATGTGATTCTGCCCAGAAGAGAGGTATAAGTGGTTGTTAACAGTGATTGTTATCTCTCTGGAACAGACTGAATCCATGTAAAGCCTCATGGAGGAAGAGATTCAGGGGACCTTGAATGTGCTAGGGTCTGCGGTGGGGGCAGGCATTCAGGGCAGAAAGAACAACACGAGCAAAGGTTCCAAAGTGGAAAAGCCCCACATGAACACTGTGGAGAGGTCCCTCCCGGCAGGTGTGTAGGGATGGAGCAGAACGCTGGAAGATGAAACAGGAGAGGTGCTGTGGGACTCTACTTCCTGAAAAATTCAGGCCTCTCAGCGTGGCAGAGAATAGCAGCAGCAAGATCAGAGCTGAGTCTTGGGTGGATTGAGGATCAGTGCCCTGCAGGTGCTGTGGGCTAAAGCCGGCCTCAGCCTCCTCCTGTGGCAGCCCAGGGCAGCGGAATCTTTCCCATCTGCCCACTCTGTGCCGGAGGCAGAAATGGGCGCCTAGCATTCTGCCCTGTCTGTGGGGCCAGCTCTCACAAGGGGCTGGTGCTCATCTCTGCAGCGCCTATGCTTCTAAGTTCCAGAAGATAGGCTGTCACTTGATGTCTGTCCAGATCATTGAAATCTGCTGGAGTCTGATTCCCCTGAGGAACAGCATCCTGGTTCATAGGTAGTTTAGTCATTCATCAAGTGTTCATTAAGTACCTGCCATGCTCCAGAAACATTTCTATATGTCTGAAATTCATCACTGAAAGAAACAAAAATCTGAAGGAAAGACAGACAGTAAACAATAAATAGAAATGATACAGTGTGTGAAAAGATGATGAAATGCTGTGAGCACAACAGAGCAGGGTCAGGGGCCTGGGAGAGGGGTGGGAGGGGTGGGGAAGGGGCTGTCTATTTAAACAAGGGTCAGGGAGGCCTCCTGAAGAAGGGGACAGCTGAACACAGACATGCTTAGCAACAGGCCTGTGAAGTCCCAGGCTTACTCTGTAGCAGCACAGGGACAGTGCAGTGTGGTTTACTTGCCTCTTTGGACACATAGAGAACCAGGCAAAATTCAAAGTTTGGTGTTTTACCACTCAGATCCTGAAAATTCAGAAGCGTCATCTCAGAAGCCAATAGAGGAAAAGGCAGTTACTGCAAGCCCTGAGCAAGTGTTTGCTGAGTGCTCCCAGAAGAGGATTTTGGGTTTACTAGCAGCCATGTTACCTCCCTTAAAGTCGGTAAGGGCAATTTCTTAAAAGAGGGTAGTATGTGTAGGAAAAAAATTTGGAAAGCCATATACTGAAACAAACTGTTAATGGCAGCCATCTCTGTAATGGTGGGATTATAGGTTATAATTATTTTCTTCTTTGACCTTCTCTATGTTTTGTAAGTATATGTAATGACTTACTATTTTTAATTATTATAATCATGTTTTTCCACCTTTTTATTTTGGAAAGTTTAAAGCTCCTAGAAAACTTGAAAGAACCATAAATGAAGGTCTTCTCCTAGATTCACCAATTGTTAATACTTTGCTTTATCTCTGTCTTATTTATATATCTATTTATATTTTTTTCCTGAACTTTTGAAAATAAGTTGAAACCATCATTGACGGTTCACTCTCAATAGTTCAGCATGTGTCTCTCCTTAAAATGCATTCTCCTATACAACCACAGTGTCATTATCATACTTAAAAAATTTAATATTGATAGAATAATTTTATCTTATAGCCTAAACACAGATTTTCCCAATTATTTCCAAAATGTGTCTTACAGCTTTTTTTTTTTTTTTTTAGTCAGGGTCCACTTAAGAATCGCATTGCATTTAGATGTCATGCTGATTTAGTCTCCCCTAATCTATTTCCCTTGCCTTTTTTTCAAACGTTCATAACACTGACATCTTTAAAGAATCTGGACAGTTTAGATATGTCTTCATTATTTTTCTTATAATTTTATGGACTGTTCCTGCATGCATATTTTTTTCCATATGAACTTTAGTATCATTTTTATCAAATTAAAGATCCTGTTAGCATTTTCACTGGGCTGGCACTGAATTTATATGTTAATTTAGGAATAGCTGACATCTTTACAGTAGTCTCCTATTTTTCAGGTAACAGAGAGGAATCAGAGACACAGCTGGCAGGCTGCTGAAACAGGACTTCCCAAGTTGACAGGACTTTGGGGAAGGGGAGATGTCCCCAGGACCTAAGATTTGATCCTCAGGTCTCTGGGTCCAAGGACTTTTTTTTAGCAGTTTGCCTGGAGATGCTCAGACTCAGAGAAGTCCACTTTTGCATGGGAATTGAGGCTGATTTATAAATCAGTCACAATTCACAGGGCATGTGTCTGGCAGGAAAATCATATGTATTTCCTCTTGGTATGTAAATCCACCTGGAAGACCACACTGTAACTCAGAAGGTTGTCTGGTGCACATGGAATTAGGATGAAGAGAGTAGGATATTTTGAAGATGTGTTTCCATCCCCCTGGATGAATTGGCCTCACCCAGCATGTCTGTCTGAAAGGGACGCACTGCTGAATCAGCACTCTCAGGCTTGGACAGCGCAGTAGCATTCTGGTCTTTGCCTTCCCTCTCCAATCGTAGGAGACTTTGAGCCATGACTGATTTCTGCTTGCTTCAGTTGCCTCTGTTAATTAGAGCTGCATCTTTCCCACATCTCACTGGGCAGCACATTGAGAAACCATCTCTTAGGGTAGGGCCCTTCTACAATTGACTATTAGCCTTTTTATGTTGATTTTGCCAGTTTCACTATAAGAGTGACCTTTTCTTGACTTGGTCTCAGCTTTGTTGTAACCATTTGTATTCTGGGCAGTCTGCTGACTTCTAATGAGATAACTGCTCTGTGCCTGTCAACTGTCCCCACTCTAGCCTTGCTCCAATACACATTTTTTCCCTGCCTCTTCCCAAATTCTCTTTTCTTCTTTTCTAATCATTCGTGAAATTTGTATCATATTTCTTATCTAATTGTGGTTGTAGTTAAATTTTTGCCTCCTTTTTTCGACCTATATTTCTTTCTTAATTAACAGTGGTACCTTTTTGCCTTTTCTCCCAAACGAGATGAGACCTTTTATTTCTTTACAAGATGGGATGCTTTTATTTCCCCCATCGTATCCCAAGTGTTCAAATTATATGTAATTTTAGCTCTGCATGGTTTGGTTGGTTGGTTGGTTTGGGGTTTGTTGTTGTAGTGTGTAGATTTTACCTCTCTTAAATTACTTTCTCTGGAGTTTATTAACCACATCATAATTAATTATTCATAGTTACTGTTTTGATGCACATTATTTATTGGTTACTATTTCTTCCTCCTGAATTATTTATTCTAATTCAGTTTTTGTTTTGCTAAAATACTTGCTCAAATGCTTTTTTAGGAATGGCCGCCTGTCTTTCTTTTCTTCTCCCCCATGAGAATAGTTTAGGTATAGAATTATAGGGGCATAGGCCTTTTCCTTCACAACTCTATGAATATTGTTGCATGGTCTTCTACCATCTAGAGTTACTGATGAGAAGTCCAATATTAAGATGATATAAACTGATTAATGCACTCCTTTTGTGTCTGGCTTCTTTTACTCAACATTATGTTTGTAAGATGCGTCCATGTTACTGTGATTAATTTCCCTTATTTATTCTCATTGTTATTTAGAGTCCCATTATATGACTATATTATAATTTTAAAGTTCATTTTGCTATTGTTGGGCATTTGAGTAAGTTCTGATTTGGAGCTACTCCACATAGTGCCGTGAGCATGCTCATACATGTCTTTCAGTGAACACACAAATGCAAGCCAGGTGGTTTTCCTCAACATTTATGTCAGTTTACGCTCCCACACAGCATATGAAAGTGTCATTTGCTCCATATCCTCTCTAATTTTGAAACAATTACAAACTCACATAAAAGTTGGAGATGCAGTACAAGTAATTTTTTGTCTGAGAGTAAGTTGCCAAGTTGATGCCATATTACCCCTAAATACGTTAGTGTGTGTTTTCTAGAAACAAGGAGAGTCTCCTGTGCAACTAGAGAACAACCAAAGTCAGAAAAATTAACACTGATACATTGCTACCCTCTAATCCTTAGTCCCCACTGAAGTTTCAGCAGTCACTCCAAAAATGTCTTTTATAGCAAAAGGATCAGAATATATATAGCATTTTGATGTCATCTCTCTATAGTCTCCTCTAATCTTAAACAGTTAATCCGTCTTTCTTAACTTTCATGACCTTGACACTTTTGAAGATTACAGGCCAGCTGTTTTGTAGAATGTCCTTCTCTTTAGGTTTGTCCGATGTTTCCTCATGATAAGATTCAGGTTTTGCATCCTGGGCAGAAATATCACAGCCATGATGCTGCATACTCACTCCAGTCTATCAGGAACACAATTCTGACTTATTTCATTACAGATCTTCTTCACTTTGATCACTTAAGTAAGAGGTGTCAGCCAGCCTTCTCCATTGTAATCTTTTCCCCTTTGTTATTAGGAAATATTTAGTGGGGAGAGCCTTGAAACTATGTAAATATCCTGTTTCTCCTCAAACTATTAATTTATTCATTTATTTAGCATCACTTAGAGTCCGTTATTCTAATTGCTTATTATGATGCTTAAATTGTCCTGGATTTGGCCTGTGGGAGCCCATTCAGGCTGACTTCCATGTTCTTTTGACATATCCCATTTTTTGAGCATCTCCTTCTTTGGGGGCACAAGATGTTTTACGTACTTCTTGAATTTTCCCCTAGCCCTGGACTCAGCCATTTCTCTAAGATGACCTGGTTCTATTTGGTAGAGAATGGTATTTAGAAACCAAGGTTTAAACACTAGATGGGTTCATTGCTAACAGGGTATCACTGGTCCCAAGCATTCTCAGCGGAGAAAGCTAGGGGGTACATGAGTGTATACACACACATACACATACACACACACACACGTTGTGTGTGCGTGCATGCGCGCGCTTTATTTCTTTCATGTTTACAGCAGTGGTTCTCAAACTGGAGGCTATTCAGTTTGGCTAATCGACAATGCCCGGAGACGGTTGTGGTTGTCACAACTTGGGGGTTGCTACCGAAATCTAGTGGGATAGAGGCCAGGGATGCTGCTAAACATCTTAAAATGCACAGGCACCACCCCCTCACCCCCCCCCACACACACACACAGACAAGAATTATCAGACCCAAATATCAATAGCACTGAGGTTGAGAAACCCTGATTTGGAGAGAGAATGAATCATGAATTCATGAATCCCTCTAATTCCCATCTAAAACCACAAAGCTTATTCTAGTTTTCTCCTTTTTTGTATTTGTAACTGCTGTCTTTAACAGTGAGACTCTTGGATCCCATTATCCTTCATATAAGTACTTACTCGATCAATATCCCATTTCTGCTGCCACTCTTCTTTCCAGGGTGTCTTCCTCTCACTGTTTGGACTCTGGAAACCCCGCATGGGCCTGCCCCTACATGGATACCTCTCACCACACTTGGGTCTATCTCTCTGTGCCAGGGTGCCCCCTTGCCTTGAGGCCACCCCCACCCACAGCAGGTTGCTACTCAGTGGCAACACTCTCCTTATGCTGCTTGGACTCTGATCGCCCATGCCAGGCTGAACTCCCCACACAGATGCCCTCACCTCTCCACCTGGGCTCAGACACCTACACCAGGCTGCCCTTCCTCATTGATCCCCTCCTCACCCCACTGCCAGGCATGGATGCCTTTCTCACCCAACCTGTGCTCTCACACCCTGCCAGGCCACCCTCTCAGAGCGATACCTTCTTAAGAATCTTTTTTTAAAGGCAGAGTCTTGCTCTCTCTCCCTGGCTAGAGTACAGTAGTGTCAGCCTAGCTCACTGCAACCCCATAGTCCTGGGCTCAAGTGATCCTCCTGCCTCAAATTCCCAAGTAGCTGGGACTACAAATGCACACCCCTGCACCTGGCTAAATTTTTCTATTTTTAGTAGAGACAGGATCTCGCTCTTGCTAGGGCTAGTCTCAAACTCCTAAACTCAAGCGATCCTCCCCCGCCCGCCCAGAGTGCTAGGATTACAGGCGTGAGCCACTGTGTCTGGCCGAGAATCATTTTTTATTTCCGAGAACTTTTTGTTCTTTGATTGCTTTGTTTTCATATTATGGATATAGTGCCCTCTTGAATCACACTGAGGATAATAACTCAAACATTGTAAAAGTTTTCTTCAGTTTTGTTTCTTTTTTTCCAATGAAAAATAACAGATGGTGTAAGTATAGAAATGTATGTTCTAGGCTGTTTATCTAAATGGTGTTTATAATAAAGAAGAATCAGAAACAAAGTAAGTTGCAGGATAGTATTTAAACAAAGAAAAATAGGCCAGGCACAGTGGCTCATGCCTGTAATCCCAGTACTTTGGAAAGCTGAGGTGGGAGGATCACTTGAGGCTAGGAGTTTGAGACCAGCCTGGACAATATAGTGAGACCCTGTCTCTACAAAAAAATTTTTTTAAATTAGCCAGCCATACCCTATAGTCCCAGCTACTCAGGAGGCTGAGGTGGGAGGATTACTTGGGCCCAGGAGTTGGAGGCTGCCATGAGCTATGATCATGCACTGCACTCCAGCCTGGATGACAGAATGAGACACTGTCTTTAAAAATGATAAAAATAAAAATAATAAAAATAACTTTATTTAAGATTTATTTTAGATATGTAATTATACATAGAAAAAAGTTGAAATATTATTCATCAAACTTTTAACAGTTGTTATCTCCTGGGGGGACTATGAGGAGCTTTAACTTTCCTATATTTCTGAATTATTTGAATTTTTTTACAACGGACATATCGGGGTGGGAGGGGACCAATATTTTAAGTTTATTTTTCAGGGTAAAGAAATATTAGAAGTAGGATTGTAAGATGATACCTAAGGATGTTTATTTCACAAGTAATTGTACCTATGGCATTTATGAAAGCCACTACAGAATCCTACTGGCACTAGGCCAGTTGTAAATAAGACACAGGGAGATGGAATGTTCAGCGGGTGTGGTCATGTGGATTTTGTACTGAACTGATTTCTCTCCCTCTCTTGGCAGGGTCCTACGGTTCCCCTGATAGACCTGGAGCATGTCCTCCCACTGATGTTTCAGGTCGTCATCTCAAACGCAGGCCACCTGAATGAGACCTACCACCTCACCCTGGGTCTTCTCGGCCAGTTAATCCTTCGTCTTTTACCAGCAGAGGTAGATGCTGCGGTGATCAAGGTCCTCTCCGCCAAACATAACCTGTTTGCTGCAGGGGACAGTTCCAGTGTGCCAGACGGCTGGAAGACCACCCACCTGCTCTTTAGCCTGGGAGCTGTGTGTCTGGACAGGTAGCCTTGGTTCTCACTCCGCGAGCCACCTCCACTCCACCCCACCTTGGTGTTCATTCCTTTAAGTTCAAGGTCTGGCTGTTAATTAATTTAAATGTGCTGCAGTGCTGTTGTCTGAGCATCTTTTGTGAGAATAGAATTGGGTTTATTAGCAATGCTGTGGCAACCCACATTATAACAATGCCTAAAACCCACATTAAAACAACTGAGCAGTCTCAATACTGCCTGCTGATTCAGCTCTCTGCTGATATATATTCTGATTTGTTTTTTCCTGAGAGCAGTAAGTATAGGCCTTGGGTTGAAGAAAATAAATCTTTTCATTATAAAAGTAGCTTACCACAATATGAAATTGCAAAAACAGAAATGAAGAAAAAAAAAATCGCCCTGACTTGGACTGTATTAATACCTCTGCTGCTATTTTACTGTATTTCCTTCTAAGCTTTTTTTTTTTCTGTGTGTGAATGTGAGCGTGCATGTGCACACACATGCATGGGTGACTTTTTATGAAGATTTTTGAGAACATAGTTGTAGGCTGAGTATGTAAGTGACATCTTGATTTTGTTTATTGCTCACTGTTTTATGAAAAGCATTATTCTGGTGGTTTTTAAGCTGATTAATGAATGGCCCTTTGCACGTCTCTGGGTCTGCCTGGAGTGTAGCGAGCTCTGATGAGTTGAGCGTGGAGCCCTGTGCATTGCCCTTAATGGAGCTCTTGCCTTCCAGCCGGGTGGGCTTGGACTGGGCGTGCTCCATGGCAGAGATCCTGCGGTCACTCAACAGTGCCCCACTGTGGCGTGATGTCATTGCCACTTTCACAGACCACTGTATCAAGCAGCTGCCTTTCCAGCTGAAGCACACCAACATCTTCACCCTGCTCGTGCTGGTCGGCTTCCCCCAGGTACCACACTCAGAAGGCCTGGCTACCCCTTCCCATCTTCAGCGTGCACATCAAAGTCTCTCTGAAATATGTGTATATACATCTCTTTGGATGTTTTTTTCCTTGGGTTGTGTAACTTGATTTCACAGTATTGGTGCATTTTCAAGGTTTTGGGATGGTTTGCTCAACTTGCATTTTTAACAGTTTAGCCATTTGATTCATTTCATTAGTCAATAGTTGGCTTTGAATAATATGTAACTAATATATTAAAATTACAAAGAACTTCGAAGAACAATTGTCTTTCAGTTTGGTATTCATCTTGATCTTCTTTCTAATCTTCATGCCTCTCAACTGATTGGGATAAAGGGGACTGTAAAAACATGGCTTCATCCAGCAAGGACTTAAACCAATTCTGTGCCAGGCCTGTGCCAGGCCCTTTGGACCTAGAGATGAGAAGAACCCTTTTCTTGAGTGCTGGCTGAAGTCAGAGGCACAAGCAAAAGGGGCTGGGTTTGTACTCTGTTAAGTGCTCTTTCCCATCTCAACGTGCTATTGAGTTGCCTTCTCTGTCTCTGTCGTGTCCCAGGTCCTCTGTGTGGGAACCCGCTGTGTTTATATGGATAATGCCAATGAGCCCCATAATGTGATCATCTTGAAGCACTTCACTGAGAAGAACAGGGCTGTGATCGTTGATGTGAAAACTCGGAAAAGGAAAACAGGTCCCAAGCATAATGATTTTTTCTAAGAATGAAAGAAAATTGTCTAATCCCTATGTACGCTAAAATCAATGAAGATACCTTGGTTCTTGCCCTGCATGTGATTTTTAAAAACACAAACTTCTTTTTCCTCATCTCTAGAATGATATGGTTGACCGAAATGGGATAATTTTGAAGGCCCCTTTCCATGCTGTTGTTTTGTGTATATGGCTCTGTGTTTTTTGGTTAGCCAGATATTTACTTTCTGAACATTTATTTCTCCATTTGCTGGTGTCATTTGTTTTCTAATGGGTAATTTAAACATTATGGAGTCAGGCGGCAACATGAAGTCATGGACTACACTTAAAATAGTTGTATTGGCGTTCATGTAACTTTCCATTTTGTTTCATCAATAGAACACTGAAAGTATCACATCTTAAGTGCCCTTTTGACTTAATTTGCCAAACCCTAAACAATCTGGAGTATCTAACCCAGTTCTGCTCCTGAAGCAATCTGCTGTCTCACTCAGCTTCAGCATTAGGCAGTGTCTGTGCTGTTTTTGTGTATGGTATAAGGTAAATGTCTAGGTTCCTTCTTTTTCTTCCTTTTTTTTTTTTGCACATGAACATCCAGTTGTTCCAGGACCATTTGTTGAACAGACCATCCTTTTCCCATTGAATTATCTTGGCATCTTTGTTGAAATTTTTTTTTTTTTTCTTTGAGACAGAGTCTTGCTCTGTTGCCCAGGCTAGAGTGCCATGGCGTCAAGCCTAGCTCACAGCAACCTCAAACTCCCAGGCTCAAGCCATCCTTCTGCCTTAGCCTCCCGAGTAGCTGGGACCGCAGGTGCACACCACTGCGCCCGGCTAATTTTTCTATTTTTGGTAAAGACGGGTTCTCATTCTTGCTCAGGCTGGTCTCAAACTCCTGAGCTCAAACAATCCTCCCACCTCAGCCTCCCAGAGTGCTAGGATTACAGGTGTGAGCCCACGCCTGGCCCTTTGTTGAAAATTAATTGACATGTATGTGTGAGTCTATTTGTAGATTCTATTATGTTTCATTAATCTATATATCTATCTGTCCTTACTTTAATACTACACTATTTTGACTATTGCAGATTTATACTAAGTCTTAAAATAAGACCCTCCAGCTTTGTGATTGACATTGATCAAATCTATAGATTCATTTGGGGAGAACTAACATCTTAACAATACAGATGCTCCCTAACTTATAATGGGGTTACATCCTGATAAACTAAACCCATTGTAAAGTCAGAAATCATCAAGTTGAACCATTGTTAAATTGAGGACTGTCTATATTGAGTCTTTTGATCCATGAGCATGGTACATACATCTCTCCATTTATTTAGGGAATAAATTTAGATCTCATAAAATTTGAATCTTTAATTTCTTTCAGCCTGGCATGGGGTATTAACTGCCTTCTCTCATTCCTGATTTGGGTAATTTTTGTCTTCTCTTTTTTGTTTCCTAGACAGTCTTGCCAGAGATTTACCAATTTACTTAATCTTTTCAAAGGACCAGCTTTGGTTTCATTGATTTTTCTTTATTATTTCTGTTTTCTATTTTATTGATTTCTACCCTGATTATTATTAATTTTCTTATTTTTTCTTGCTTTGGGTTTAATTTGCTTTTCTGGTTTATTAAAAGTAGAAGTCATCATTGATTTGAGACTTTTCTTCTTTGCCAATAGAAGAATTTTTAATGCTACGAATTTCCCTCTGAGTATGACTTTAGCCACATCTCACAATTTTTGATATGATGTATTGTCATTTTCATTTAGGTCAGAATATTTTCTAATTTATCTTGTGATTTCTCTTTGCACTTGGGATTATTTAAAAGTTTGATATTTAATTTCTAAATATTTGGGGGATATTCCAGATATCCTTCTTTTATTGATTTCAAGTTTAATTCCCTTGTGGTCAGAGAGCATACTTTTAATTATTTCAGTCCTGTTAATATTATTGCAGCTTGTTTTATTGTCCATAATTGGGTCTGTTTTCATGAAGGTTCCATATGCACTTGAAGAGAATACATATACTATGTTGTTGGTGGAGTATCTTATAGATGTTATTTAGGTCAAATCAATGGATAGTGTTATTTAAGTCTTCTGTGCCCTTACTGATGTTCTGTTCTACTTGTTCTAACAATTACTGAGAGAGGGCTGTTCAAGTTTCTAACTATAATCGTATGTTTATTTCTCTTTTCATTATAAAATATCCCTTTTTATCCCTGATAATATTCCTTATTCCAAAATCTACTTTAATATTTATATAGCCTCTCCTGCTTTTTTAAAATTAGCATTTGCATGGTATAGTCATCCTTCAGTATCTTCAGGGGATTGGTTCCAGGACCCACCATGGATACCAAAGTCCACAGATGTTCAAGTTCCTTATAGTTTGCCCTCCATATCTGTGGGTTTTGCATAAACAGATTCAGTCAACCTTGGATCTAAAATATAGTTGGCCCTCTGTATCCATGGGTTCCACATATTTTTTCATCCTTTCACTTTAACCTGCCTATATCTTTACATTTATAGTGGATTTATTGTAGATAAGCACATAGTGGGTTCCTTTTTTAAAATCCAGTCTGACAGTCTCTACCTTATAATTGACATGTTTAGACCATTTACATTTAATGCAGTTATCAGGATGGTTGAATTTAACTCTTCTGTCTTCTTGGTTGTTTTCTATTTGTCTTCATCTGGTTCTTCGTTCCTTATGTCCTCTTCTCCCTTTTTTTGGATTTTTTTGTTTTGTTTTGCTTAATGATTCTATTTTATTTATTTCTACTATCGGCTTTTTAACTATCTCCCTTTTTTTTAGGGGTTGCTCTAGGGTTTACAATAGTCTTCCTTCAAATAATTTCTTAGTGGTTCCTCTAGGGTTTATACTATATGCCTTTAACTCATCATAATCTACCTTCAGATAATATTATACCACTTCACATATAGTGTGGAAACATCACAACATTTATTTTTATTCTCCAGCCCCATTCTTTGTGCTGCTTTTACCACACATTTTAGTTCTATATGATATAAATCCTATAATACATTATTATTTTGCTTTAAAAAGTGAGAATTTTTAAAGAGATTTAAATATGAGAAAGCAATTGCTTTTATATTTAGCCACATATTTTCCCTTTCTGATGGTCATCATTCCTTTGTATAGATTCAGTTTTCCACCACGTATCTTTTTTTAGGGGTGGGGAGACCTGAAAAAATTCCCTTAGCATTTCTTGTAGTTACAAATTGGCTGCTACAAAATCTCTGTTTGTCTGGGAGATGTTTATTTTTACTTTATCTTTGAAAGATAATTTTGCTGGTTAAAAAATTCTAGGCTAAGAATTTTTTCTTTGATTACTTTAAAGATGTTGATCCATTGTCTTCTGGCTTATATAGATTCTGGTATGAAGTCTACTGTCATTGTTATTTTTGTTATTTTTTTGTAATGTGTCTCTTTTCTCTGGCTGCTTTTTCAGCAATTTGATTATGGTGTGCCCTGGCATGATTTTCTTTGTGTTTCTTCTGCCTGGGGGTTTATTGAGCTCCTCGGTTTATAGTGCTCATTACCTTTGGAAAAATTTTGACCATTATGTTTTCAAATATCCCCCACCCCCACCCCCACCCCCACAATCAGGACACTTCCACTCTCAGGCTGGTGGGATGACAAAATAGTCCCGGCTCTGTGTGAGCTCCAGGAATTGTTCTGCCTGCTGCTTTTTGGTAGTTCTTTCTCCTGCGGTTAGATAGTTTCCTCTCACATGTGTGCAAATCAATACCGAGGCAATGGCTCATGAGGAATCTTCTCTGGATCTCTGGAAAGCTCTTCCCCACCCACCTCTCTGTCTATGCATCTTGAGTCTCTGTGATATTCTGCCCCATAAATTCTCTAGCTGCCTTGATTTCCCTGAACTCTCATCTCTGTCTCTTCAATTTACTGAGGCTACTGGACTCTGCTTAGATTTCTGCTCCCTGCTCTGCAGCCTAGAAATTGTGTCCAGATAGTTGGTGTTTTTGGAGGGCTGACCTAATTTATACCTATTCTCTCAAGGATAGTAGTCCTGTACTACCTGTTGCCCAATATCTGCAAACCATTGTTTCGTATGTTTTTTTGGTGTTCTGGTTAAGGCAGAAGAGTAAATCCAATCCCTTTTACTCCTGTTTGGAAGTAGAAATCTCATGTGTACAATTTTTTTGGGGGGTGGGGCGGGAGACAGAATCTCACTCTGTTGCTCAGGCTGGAGTGCAGTGGCACAATCATAGCTCAAGGCAGCCTCAAATTCCTGGGCTCAAGTGATCCTCCCTACTCATCCTCCCAAGTAGCTAGGACTACAGGCATGTGCTACCACACTGGCTAATTTTTTAATTTTTTTGTAGAGGCAGGGTCTCACTATGTTGCACAGGCTGGTCTCGAACTCCTGGCATCAAGTGATCCTCCTGCCTCAGCCTCCTAAAGTCACATGTATTATTTTTGAGAACTTTGTTAACACCTTTGGAGGCAACCTGCTTGTGGACAGTAACTGGAATGTGATTTGTCCCTCTCGGTTGCTTGGTGGATAGGTGGCCATAACTATTTTTGTGCTTACTTGCAAACCGGCCTTAATAGCTAAAACGGAGCCTGGGAGTTTTGTGTTTCTGCAGTTCTTACTTTAGTAAGGCACATTACCATGGAAGAAACTTAGCTTCAGGAAGCATTAACTGTACTTTTTGTGCTTTTTCTCTTTCTGCCTGCCATCACTCTTTAGTAAAGGACTATCAGCTGGTCCAGAAGGGAGGAGGACAGGAAGGCAGTGATTCTCAGGCCCAGCTCAGCCAATACTCCCAGCACTTTGCCGTCATTGCCAGTCACCTTCTGCAAACCAGCATGGACAGCCATTGTCCTGAGGCAGTGGAAGCAACTTGGGTCCTGTCCCTGGCCCTCAAAGGATTATATAAGACACTAAAGGTAATGATGAGCTTCTTCCATTTGGTAATGAATCTGGTCCTCACTTCCCTCTCTGAACGACAGCTCCCTTGCATCACTGTGGGAGATGAAGGGAAGAATAAAGGGGGCTGGGAACCCTATGGGATCTCTAGGCAATAGGTTTGGCAGTTGGGGTGGGAGGAGGTAGACAAGTTAAAGAGTGGGGCGATGTTTGACATGAAGATGAGAAGCCTTGACTTAGGGAACTTCTTCTGATGCCTCAGAGGCATTGATTGGAAGGAAGGATCTTTTAAAGAGATGCCTTTCAGCTCACTTTTATGATCATCTTCCAAGCAGAGCTATGAAAAAAGCAGCTTAGCTGAAAAGTTTGTGAGTTCCTTGGCTTTGAAGGGTGTTCAGTGGCAGCACTGGTGGGGAGGTCATGGAGGGGACTCAAGCACCACAGGCAACTGGACTAAGTGGCGTTTCAGCTCTCGTCCAGCCCTGAGAGTCTGTGTTGTAGGATTGAGACCATTCCTCTGCTGTGTCTTCAGTTCGTGGCATTTATCATAAGGCACTGTTATTTCAATTGTTTACCTTATGCTGGGAAAGGAAAAATAAACTCCCTGAGGGCAAGGATCATTTCTGTCTTCGAATCCTTCAAACAGTAAATATTTATTGAGCACCAAGGGCCAGATGGAACTGAGTATGTAGTGGCGAATGAGAAAGAAGGTGTCTGCTTTCATGAAGCTACAGTCTAACAGATAGAGAGACAGCAGAGAGCCTGCAAGGAAACTGCCATGAGTCAGAAAAAGCCTTTCCGAAGAGGTGAAATTTGATAGATAAGGAGTCAGTGTTGGGAAACTGGGCACAGTATTCCATGCAGAGAGAATAGTAAGCTCCAGGCCTCAAAAGTGGGGCAGGCACGGTTGTCAGGGAGCAGAAAGGACAACCTTAGGGGCTTCAAATAGGACAAAAGAGGGGGGCGAGGCCAGAGAGGCAGGCAGGGAGCCCCGTAGGACTTTGCAGCCTTGATTAGGGTCTTAGATTTTAGTCTAACGGGCATTGGGAAGCTTTGGAAGATAGAGAACAGGGAGCGACATAGAATATGCTTCAAAAATATTTGTTGAGTGAATGACCAGGCAGTGGATTCAGTATTTCATTCTCCCTGTTGACTCTGGGATTTTCACTAGGTCAGCTTGGGCCACCAACTGAGACCGGGCTCTGAGAAAGGCTTGCTTCTCCCTAGCTGAGCCTTACCTTCACTCTGAGGTATCATTCTTTTTTCGCTTGGCAGGCTCACGATTTTGAAGAGACCCATGCTACCTTCCTTCAGACTGATTTGCTGAAGTTGCTGGTGAAAAAGTGTAGCAAAGGGACCGGCTTCAGTAAAACGTGGCTCCTCCGGGACCTGGAAGTAAGAGATGGGGGTGGCTCCTGCTACTGCTGCCTGATGAGATTTACTGGCCTGGGAGTTAGAAGCATCAGCTAGTTCCACCTGGTTCTGCCCTGTGCACTCATTTCGCACAGTGTTTAAAATCTCCCCTTGCTTCCGACTTCCCCTTTGGAAATAGAGATTATGACACTGTCCTCCCTTGTCAGAGAAAATGAATTTGGTGTTTGTTCAAAGAACGTTGGAAGAGAAGTATTTTATGGAAACACATGCTTGGCCGTTCTATCATAGTAATAAAGTGTACCTTGAATTATTATTTCCCTTTAAAGTTCTTTTGATCTAAAATCAGCTTCTAAATTTGTCTTTCCTTATGTTTATCTTATGAAGGATTTTAGTTGATAATTTTAATTTTATTACTATTCCCCCTAGACCTTAGATCTTTCTTAGCAGAATTACAGTGGTTCCCTGTGGACTTTCTGTGCCAAATGCCAGCTTCGGGCCCAGGAAAGGCTGCTGCTGCATGGGAGGTGGTGAGCGGCCCTTCCCAGTCACACAGAGGCCTGAACTTAAGACACAGCCCTCAGCTCCCGGAAGAGTATTTGGTTAGGTTTGAGGAAGATATACTAAAACTTATTAGTGAATAACCGGAAGACCACGTGAACTGTTATTCTTAGGAAATATTTTAAATTAAATTTTTTTATTTAAATAATAGAACCACATTGCAGGAAACTTAGAAAGAACAACTCCATATTTTATACCCAAACACAGCTACCATTAGCATTTTGTCCATTTCCTTCTTTTAATTTTTTTCCTATGCTTCTGTAGTACATACATAAATTTAGATTACATGGTGAGCATAGTATTCAAATAAATTCAGGCCATATGATGAGCATTTTTCTAAGTTTCCCTATAGTTTTCATAACTACCATTTTTACAATTTCTTTTTCTTTTTTTTGAGACAGAGTCTCACTCTGTTGCCTGGGCTAGAGTGCTGTGGCGTCAGCCTAGCTCACAGCAACCTCAAGCTCCTGGGCTCAAGCAATCCTTCTGCTTCAGCCTCCCGAGTAGCTGGGACTACAGGCATGTGCCACCATGCCCGGCTACTTTTTTCTGTATATTTTTAGTTGTCCAGCTAATTTTTTCTATTTTTTTTAGTAGAGATGGGGTCTCACTCTTGCTCAGGGTGGTCTTGAACTCCTGAGCTCAAACAATCCACC